TCATTTCATATGATATAACATCGAATATAACACATCGAAACATACAGATGGTAACGGTGGCTGAAGCCCGACACGTAAAACCAGAGATAAAACCTTGGCCCGACACGTAAAACCAGAGATAAAACCTTGGCCCGACACGTAAAACCAGAGATAAAACCCTTTGCCCGACACGTAAATCCAGAGATAAAACCCTTTGCCCGACACGTAAAACCAGGGATAAAACCCTTTGCCCGACACGTAAAACCAGAGATAAAACCCTTTGCCCGACACGTAAAACCAGAGATAAAACCCTTTGTTAATACAAAAGGCTCTGGAACCGTTTTCTCCCTACGAATGCAACAGCATCAGTAACTGAGAAGTATACAGTATTTGAATTACCTTTCACCCACGTCATACATACTTTTTCAAATACATATTATACAAACATGTACAATCTTTATTTGACCCATCACACATGGGCCACTGACACCCAATACAGCAGAATTATAATGGTTCTGCCAACCGAACATTTCCAAGGCCAAGTATTCTAATGGCTCTGCAGCCTACTGTACATTGTGTAGCCAATGAAATGCAAACATATATACAAAGTATTTAAAGGCCCTGCAGCCACAATACCCATGTGATAGTAAACACAATTATACCTGTGAGTATTATAACAGCTCTCCAGCATCAACATACATGACAGAATGTCGCCTCATCGCTACACGTCCACATCTCAATCGAAATGCCTGAAACACATGAATAGACATGTTCGACAAGCCCTTGATGCCGAGCACCAGACAGGGTACCATATTTTGGTATGACGCGGCTGGGGATCGAACCCCGGACCTTCCGCTCTCCTGTCGGACGCTCTACCACCAGACCACGGCGTCGGTTGTAGTTATGAGTGTTTTTATATTCATTATCATAATGACCTCAAGATAGTCACCTTTTTTCCGCTCCAACTTTGTATGGACAGGTTAGATATTTAATTACCTGTGTCCACTATGCAGATCCTTGAACAGTCAAATGTGCTCAAAACCTGTCTATTACTGAATGCGTTGAATTGGAGTTACAAGAGGGAGGAGGCACGGGTGGCCCAGTCGTCTAAGGCGCCGCGATTCGCTGTGCAGAGTTGCGGCCCTTGGGCACGCCAGAAACCTATGATTGTGGGTTCGAATCCCGGTTCAACCCGATTATGTTCCTAGGTTTGTCAGCACCATATCCGTGCTCGTGGTAAACGTCTGAGACCTGCATCACTTCGGGCTTACCTACAATTAAGCTGACACGCCGTGATATAACTGGAATACTGTTAAAAGTGGCGTTACATTCACTCACTCACTCACTCACGCACTCACTCACTCACTCAAAAGAGGGAGGGGTGTACTAATGTATGCTTTTTCTTCTACAACTTGTACATTATACACAATGGTTTCCCGACACGACAAGTTTACACCCAAACGATAATAGTTAAAGTTGATATCATCAGGTTGATATTAATGAAAGGCAGTTTACTGTTCTGAGTTGTGTATTCATGTTTAATATGGTATCTCAGTGAGCTAGCACTATAAAATCGGCATCAGTCCGGACAAGTACAAGCAGCCGTACACACGTCATTTGTCAGGCAACACCAAAGATATATTCGAATACATGCACGGTCATTTGTCAGGCAACACCACAGATATATCCGAATACATGCATGGTCATTTGTCAGACAACACCAAAGAGATATCCGAATACCTGCATGGTCATTTGTCAGGCAACACCACAGAGATATCCGAATACATGCATGGTCATTTGTCAGGCAACACCAAAGGGATATCCGAATACATGCATGGTGATTTGTCAGGCAACACCACAGAGATATCCGAATACCTGCATGGTCATTTGTCAGGCAACACCACAGAAATATCCGAATACATGCACGGTCATTTGTCAGGCAACATCACAGAGATATCCGAATACATGCATGGTCATTTGTCAGGCAACACCACAGGGATATCCGAATACCTGCATGGTCATTTGTCAGGGAACACCACAGAGATATCCGAATACCTGCATGGTCATTTGTCAGGCAACCCCACAGAGATATCCGAATACATGCACGGTCATTTGTCAGGCAACACCAAAGAGATATCCGAATACATGCATGGTCATTTGTCAGGCATCACCACAGGGATATCCGAATACATGCACGGTCATTTGTCAGGCAACCCCACGGAAATATCCGAATACCTGCATGGTGATTTGTCAGGCAACACCAAAGGGGATATCCGAATACCTGCATGGTCCTTTGTCAGGCAACACCACAGGGATATCCGAATACCTACATGGCCATTTGTCAGGCAACACCACAGGGATATCCGAATACCTGCATGGTCATTTGTCAGGCAACACCAAAGAGATATCCGAATACCTGCATGGTCATTTGTCAGGCAACACCACAGGGATATCCGAATACATGCATGGTCATTTGTCAGGCAACACCAAAGGGATATCCGAATACCTGCATGGTGATTTGTCAGGCAACACCAAAGAGATATCCGAATACCTGCATGGTCATTTGTCAGGCAACACCACAGAAATATCCGAATACATGCACGGTCATTTGTCAGGCAACATCACAGAGATATCCGAATACATGCATGGTCATTTGTCAGGCAACACCACAGGGATATCCGAATACCTGCATGGTCATTTGTCAGGGAACACCACAGATATATCCGAATACCTGCATGGTCATTTGTCAGGCAACACCACAGAGATATCCGAATACATGCACGGTCATTTGTCAGGCAACACCAAAGAGATATCCGAATACATGCATGGTCATTTGTCAGGCATCACCACAGGGATATCCGAATACATGCACGGTCATTTGTCAGGCAACCCCACGGAAATATCCGAATACCTGCATGGTGATTTGTCAGGCAACACCAAAGGGGATATCCGAATACCTGCATGGTCCTTTGTCAGGCAACACCACAGGGATATCCGAATACCTACATGGCCATTTGTCAGGCAACACCACAGAGATATCCGAATACCTGCATGGTGATTTGTCAGACAACACCACAGAGATATCCGAATACATGCATGGTCATTTGTCAGGCAACACCACAGGGATATCCGAATACCTGCATGGTCATTTGTCAGGCAACACCACAGGGATATCCGAAAACCTGCATGGTCATTTGTCAGGCAACACCACAGAGATATCCGAATACCTGCATGATCCTTTGTCAGGCAACACCAAAGAGATATCCGAATACCTGCATGGTGATTTGTCAGACAACACCACAGAGATATCCGAATACATGCATGGTCATTTGTCAGGCAACACCACAGGGATATCCGAATACCTGCATGGTCATTTGTCAGACAACACCACAGAGATATCCGAATACCTGCATGGTCATTTGTCAGGCAACACCACAGGGATATCCGAATACATGCATGAATCTTTGTCAGGCAACATCACAGGGATATCCGAATACATGCACGGTCATTTGTCAGGGAACACCACAGAGATATCCGAATACTTGCATGGTTGTTTGTCAGGCAACACCAAAGGGGATATCCGAATACCTGCATGGTGATTTGTCAGGCAACACCACAGAGATATCCGAATACATGCATGGTGATTTGTCAGGCAACACCACAGAGATATCCGAATACCTGCATGGTGATTTGTCAGACAACACCACAGAGATATCCGAATACATGCATGGTCATTTGTCAGGCAACACCACAGATATATCCGAAAACCTGCATGGTCATTTGTCAGGCAACACCACAGAGATATCCGAATACATGCATGGTCATTTGTCAGGCAACACCAAAGAGATATCCGAATACCTGCATGGCCATTTGTCAGGCAACACCACAGAGATATCCGAATACCTGCATGATGATTTGTCAGGCAACACCACAGAGATATCCGAATACCTGCATGGTCATTTGTCAGGCAACACCACAGGGATATCCGAATACCTGCATGGTGATTTGTCAGACAACACCACAGAGATATCCGAATACATGCATGGTCATTTGTCAGGCAACACCACAGGGATATCCGAATACCTGCATGGTCATTTGTCAGACAACACCACAGAGATATCCGAATACCTGCATGGTCATTTGTCAGGCAACACCACAGGGATATCCGAATACATGCATGAATCTTTGTCAGGCAACATCACAGGGATATCCGAATACATGCACGGTCATTTGTCAGGGAACACCACAGAGATATCCGAATACTTGCATGGTTGTTTGTCAGGCAACACCAAAGGGGATATCCGAATACCTGCATGATCCTTTGTCAGGCATCATCACAGAGATATCCGAATACCTGCATGATCCTTTGTCAGGCATCATCACAGGGATATCCGAATACCTGCATGATGATTTGTCAGACAACACCACAGGGATATCCGAATACCTGCATGGCCATTTGTCAGGCAACACCACAGAGATATCCGGATACATGTGTGATACTGTCATTTATTAACATGGTTGCAAATAACATTGAGCTAAGAAAACGATTTTGAAGCACATTCCACCCCCGTTATGGAAGTTTCAGAACTTTTCCAACCGTATTAAAAGTAACATATAATCTGGCGGTACCCATGTCAGTCAGTGTGTCTCTATCCTCCACTGTGAACCGTGCATTCTTCAAGACGGTTCTTCTTGTATATAATTGAGGACAATTTACACATAGCTGGCCTTTTCCTCTGGAAACTACAAAGGCAGATTTATTCACAGATGCTTAAATGTCTTAAGTGTTGTTTATGGAAGGCTAGTTAGCATGGCTTGAAATCCCACGTGACGGCTGTTCCTGGTCCATGCTTCTCGCCTCATATTTACTAGTTGGCCATGTTGGTGTAACACTGCCGTCATATAGAAACATGCATTCCTTCATCTGCTCGTCAAGAAGCATTCCTGCATCAGTGACAGGACTCCAAAATCCATTGTTTATGTGCAGATCCTAATTTTCGGTCAAAAGCAATTTAAGAGCATTAAAGTAATTTAATATTTTATTTCTTATAAAAAAACAAAGCGGGTAAATATAAACAAACAACGTCCAGAATGATTCGTTGAGTTGAGAATGTAAATGGCTTTCTGGGAAAAACTGGTTTGGTAGCTTTTCATCAGAAGTCGAATGTGGAGAAAAATATACTTGGATACACGCCTTATTTTCCCCATTGAGTGGTTGAGTAGTATGGTGGTTGAAGCTTTCGTTAGTCACGCCAAAAGTCCATCTTCTGCTCCCTACATGTGTACATGTGTAAAACGCTCTCTACAATTCCCCAGCCGCCAAAAGACTGGTATAATCCCTAGAGCGGCGTTAATCTCACTCACACGTCTTCTTCCTGACTAAAATCAATTGTGTCCACCAGGTATCCGACTCAACGAGTCAACCGCGAATAGGTTCTCTGCTATGCTGAAGAAAACACGTTTTGCAAACGCGTGCCACAAATCTGTGAAAAATAAAACACACAAAAAACCCGTCAAATAAGTATGGTAACTGTATGCAAAATAAAATCTGTTAAATGTGCGAGTGAGTGAGTGAGTGAGTGCTCGTAATTTAACGCCTCAGTCAGACATTTTCTAGCAGCACCACAACAGCATGTAAATAATCGGGTATGGACAAGACAAACCAGTGGCTGAAAGCATGAGCAACAATCAGTGACATATCACAGATCTTGTCAGAAAAACACAGCTAAGTTATTGGGTCACCGTACCCCGATGGCGTTGGTTGTTCGTGATACCTTCAGTCGCTGGTATAGCTGTCGATAATCGAGTTATAGCTGGAATGATAAGTGAGTATGGTTCTACGCCGCTTTTAGCAATATTCCAGCTATACGTTGCTGTAATCCTATAAACGAGGAACTAAATGATTATAGTGACTGAGTTAGGAGATAAATAACAGAGTTTTCAATTTCTTCTTTCAGTGGCATTTAGAATGCAGAGCTTGTTTACGTCAGATATGGTTGACGTGGCAAAATTGAATTTTGAACCGAACACGCACTTTTACCTTCACATTCACCATCGTGGACCAGACTTGCTTCTGGAAGTCTTTCGTCAGCTGCTCTCCATGTAAAATCATCTTGATCTTGATTATCACCATCAAGGTCAAGACTTGTCTCTTGAAGTCTTTCGTCTGTTCCTCCTCTCTCTGTGACATCACCTTGTCCTTGACCTTGACGGTCAGAGTCCTGCAGGGGTGTGCGTGAGTAGATGATATGCCACTGCCCTTCTGAGGAGGATCCTCCTTCAGACGGCTGGTCACCCGTGACATCAACTGTCAATGTTAAGAGGAGGCAGTCGCATAGTTGCATCTGGTTCGTGTAACCTATCCTACAAGATGCAGAGACGTTTGTATATTAATGCGTTAAATTCGCAACATCTGATTTGGGCTAGGAATGATTTAAATTATTAAAATGATAATATTAAAAAATCAACGCAAGAGGATAACCAGTGTCGACTATTTGCCGAACAATTCCATTGGGCGTAAACGACAAAATAGTAGTGAAAATTATATGAATGGATAATGAAAACCATTGATGACACCAGGTGTTCGCGAAAAGTTTAAGCACGCCCTATTGAACCGAAAGGGAGCGGTCGGGTAGCCTAGTGGTTAAAGCCTTCGCTTGTCACGCCGAAGACCCGAGTTCGATTCCCGATATGATTACAATGTGTGAAGCTCATTTCTGGTGTCCCCCGCCGTGATATTGCTGGTATATTGCTAAAAGCGGCGTAAAACCAAATTCACTCACTCACTCGGAAGCGAAAGAAATTCGCATAACAAAGTAACTATTGTTTCTTGCCTGACGTCAAATTTAAGAATGACAACTATAAATTATGCTACACTCACCTTCATTCTGATTCGGGTTATATTCAGAGGTTGTTGTTGGGGAACCAAGGTTTTCAGCTTGGTGGCCTCTCTGTGGGTTGGTTTCTGAATCACAATAACAAATTACAGTGACACGTTGATTAAGTCAATTCCGGATTACTGACATTTTCACTCAAATTATTAATAACTTTCTGGATTAAGAAATGATGCCGTTTCACTGAACACAGCACCCTCCTGAGAAAGGTTCAAAGTTCAGTGATTTAGCTTATGGTTGGTTAAGCCCGGTTATCAAAGGGAAATAACTCTAAAGTTTGGTGCTGTAGTTTCGCTTTGACAGTTCGAGTTAAATATTATTATTATTAAGACTTATTGTGGTATGGAAATTAAAGTTAACTGATACCGAACTTCTGAACTCACCTTGCACAGGGTCGCCGATTCGCTGGTTGCTGTACACGTCCGATGCAGCAACTGACCTTTCTTCTGTGAACACCCTCTTCAACTTTATCCAGGATTCCGCGTCATTCTCCCAGTCAGGTGAAAACTCCAGAGATGCTTGTGTGTCAAGTTCTATTGGTACTCGCATATTAGCCTGATCCAGCCCAAAACACAAGGGCAGAAAGCGATGAGACCTGCCCCTCTCCAGAAGCTCCTTGAAGGAGGCCTGCTGTGTATATCGATTCCAACTGCCCGAGACAAACCCCGGGGTGAGGACGACGATTGTGTACTCAGACTTTTCAACCACCCGGAACAACTCCCCGAACACATTCGTCCCCGGGAGGCAATCCCGGTCATAATAGTACGAAGAACGGAACCCGATAGATGACAGTGTATCTGCGATCCTCTCCGCTATCAATCGCGACTTTTCAATGTCATCTGGGTGACCGGAATCGTAATTGTATAGGATATTATAATGATATTCTTTTCCGTTAGACACAGGAATACTGCCCTCTTCCGCCGCCATTTTGTATCTAATATTAGTCAGTCAAGTGTCTCATGACGTAATTAAATGTAAATAGGTCATTTGCACAATCAGCAGTCAAGCAGGTAGGGTTGACAGTTTTCGAGATATTGTTGTGTACGTTCATTGTAAAAGATAATTTAAAGTCACTTGATGACAAAATACATTTTACTGATGATGAAAAGAAGTCACACACCAGAGATGAGGAATCGCGCTATTTATAATTTTTATGACGTCCTGGAAAGTGACAAAACGAAATGGGAAGTGATTGGTACAAACAGCGATGGCCGCATGGTATACTGAAAGAACAAAAATCTTAATCAGTAGGCCTACTTGCAAGGTAGAAAGAGTATCTGTCCGATATACATCTTAATCTTCCAGACTTAAATAAATGAATGAATGAATGAATGAATGAATAAATGAATACTGATGTGAGCTCAAAGCGCGAAACTATTATTACCCTCTGCCCCTTAAAGGGGAAGTGTACACGCAAAAATCACTTTCTTTCTTTTTCTAAACAAAACGCAATTTTAGAATTAATTAGTATCTGTGTTTGAAAATATACACTCATTTTTTCACAGTGAAAGTAGGAAGCTCACAATAGTGTGAAAATGATATGCCGTTATGAGGCCTTCGTTTTTCGAGCTAAACATGCCTGAGTTATCCCCCTTAGATTATGACGTAATTGGTGCCAATTCAACTGGGTCCCTGTCTATTTTCAACGCAAAAGATATCAAGTACCAGTTTGCGGTAAAACAACATGGCCTACGACACAATCCGGCGCAGTGGTGACTCAGCATAACACTATGCTGGCTGGCATCTTAGACGCTAGAATCACACACCTAGACCTACACCACGTGAAGCGGCTCTAACAAAGCATGATGACGTCATAATGTTTATCAATTGGCACCAATGACGTCATATTGCAAGGGGCATAAGCCATGGTGTTTTTGTTGTGGAAATAGAACACTTGGTAAATGTGAAAAATATAAATCGTTTTAATGCGAAAAATATGTTAATTAATTGTGATATTTTTATATTTTTGTCTTTGACACCTCTAGGTTTACACTTTTAATGTGGAAAAAGTACAAGAAAAATAGGTTCATTTCCGTGTGAACTTGCCCTTTAAGTAGTATACAACCAAATCTGCCCGTGAGGCGCTAGTAAGCTAACAGTTACAATGCCATCTCATCCTACCGGGTACCCATTCACTGTGTGGATGAACAGAGGTATTTTTCGGACAAAGTCAGTAGCTTTAGGAGACACAACATGTGCTTCAGTATGAGGCAGGACTGAACCCTAGACGCACAGCTACACAGCCACACAGGTAGTTGTACAGGGGCTGGTAGGTTCGAAACTGAGACTAGTTAGGCAATTCAGTTTCCTTGATTTCACCAAAATCGCTTCGCTAGATAATGGTACTGCACTTTCTGATATAAAGTTTAGTGCATTAGGAATGTCGTTTCACATTAGGTCGGAGGTTTATTTCAGTTCCTTTTTTCGGCAAGCTGGAGGCATTCTGATTCCAGCAGTATACCTAAGCTGGGTCCCGTCTCTACACATCACCATGTTGTCCAAGTTGAGCAAGCAGGGAACCAGTTTACACTAAACCTGACATCAGTCCGCCATGTTTGTTTGCACCGGGAATACCTCCATCACGTTCCTCCATCATCCGTGAATACATATGATCGATTTACGGTGTAGTAATCATTATTATGACTTTTGTTTATTTTAGTCACTTAAGAAATGACGCCTTTATTACTCACGTCAGTCAAATGAGCCCTACTCCGTCCATGAACTTAATGCATACAGAAAATGTGAACAATTGACGATGGTTTCTTTGATGTATCCAACAATGATGTACGCAACGGAATACGCAAATAGGAAAAAAATATATGTCCCTGAACTTGAAAATAAAACAGGATCAATAATCGGCAGGAAAAATGTTCAATTTAAGTAAACACATCGAAAATCGATACCTATTTATTTCGGAGTTTCATTAATTTCATTACTATATCGATATCCATGAATAAAGCGATAATCGTAGGTCCACGACTGACCACTTGGTGTAAGGGGGGACTACTCTAATTCGCAACACGAATTTCGCGGCATTATGTAGACACAGCGATAAATGTTCTAATGATGTTTTGAAAAAAACGTTTTGTTTATTAGTGCTTGGTTATAACATACATGTAGTTTTATCTCTGTCCTCTGTCATACACATTGACCTGTCGGGGCCAAGGTGAAGGTCAAGGTGAAGGTTATCTTGGCCATGGGATTTGCAATATGGTGAAAGATAACATCAGAAAACAGATTAATGCATGGAAAACAGTGGAAGTTGTTTTTGTTTTCACTACAGGTATGACAGGTAGATGCTGCCCTTTACAGAGGAATATATACATTAGGTGGAATCTATTCTGAGCCATTTCCGGTGGAGACAAACCTTTATTATCTCCGACTGCAAGGGTGGCGTGAGACTTGTCTAACGTTACCAGGTAAACGATCTGTAACATTACAACTTATGTTAACCCGTAAAACTGTCCTAGGTGAACGATCTGCCATATGACAAGTTATGGCAGTTATATACAGTTAAACTGTTCCAGGTTTACGATCTGTAACATTACAACTTATGTTAATCCGTTTAACTGTCCTAGGTGAACGATCTGCCATATGACAAGTTGTGGCAGTTATATACAGTTAAACTGTTCCAGGTAAACGATCTGTCGTATTACAAGTAATGTTATACAGTTTACCTGCTCCAGGTAAACGATCCGTCACATTACAAGTCATGTTATACAGTTTACCTGCTCCAGGTAAACGATCTGTCACTTTACAAGTCACGTTATACAGTTTACCTGCTCCAGGTAAACGATCTGTCACTTTACAAGTAATGTTATACAGTTTACCTGCTCCAGGTAAACGATCTGTCACATTACAAGTCATGTTATACAGTTTACCTGCTCCAGGTAAACGATCTGTCACATTACAAGTCATGTTATACAGTTTACCTGCTCCAGTTAAACGATCTGTCACATTACAAGTCATGTTATACAGTTTACCTGCTCCAGGTAAACAATCCGTCACATTACAAGTCGTGTTATACAGTTTACCTGCTTCAGGTAAACGATCCGTCACTTTTCAAGTCATGTTATACAGTTTACCTGCTCCAGGTAAACGATCTGTCACATTACAAGTCATGTTATACAGTTTACCTGCTCCAGGTAAACGATCTGCCAAATTAGAAGTCATGTTATACAGTTTACCTGCTCCAGGTAAACCATCCGTCACTTTACAAGTCATGTTATACAGTTTACCTGCTCCAGGTAAACCATCCGTCACTTTACAAGTCATGTTATACAGTTTACCTGCTCCAGGTAAACCATCCGTCACTTTACAAGTCATGTTATGCAGTTTACCTGCTCCAGGTAAACGATCCATCACATTACAAGTCATGTTATATAGTTTACCTGCTCCAGGTAAACGATCCATCACATTACAAGTCGTGTTATACAGTTAACCTACTCCAGGTAAACGATCTGTCACATTACAAGTCATGTTATACAGTTTACCTGCTCCAGGTAAACGATCTGTCACTTTACAAGCCATGTTATACAGTTTACCTGCTCCGGGTAAACGATCTGTCACTTTACAAGCCATGTTATACAGTTAAACTGTTCCAGGTAAACGATCCGTCACATTACAAGTCATGTTATACAGTTAGAATGTTCTAGGTAAACGATCTGTCACACTATAAGTGATGTTATACAATTTAGCTGCTCTAGGTAAACGATCTGTCACTTTACAAGTTATGTTATACAGTTTACCTGCTCCAGGTAACAATCTGCAAAATTAGAGGTCATGTTTTACAGTTTACCTGCTCCAGGTAAACGATCTGTCACCTTACAAGCGATGTTATACAGTTAAACTGTTCTAGGTAATATATTGTCCCAGAAAGTATAAAGCTGTGACCTTCACACGCATACACGAAATGAGATTGATGTGGGAGAAAGGGCTTGCTCGTAGATGGGAAACTCGGTTCTTTCAGAACTTTCCATTTACCTGTCCAAAACAAAAATAGCAATTTATTTCAGAAATGTTCTGAGATGGGTACCCTTGACCTACAATGACATAAGGGTATCTGGTCGAGTATCTTGACGTGGTAGCAACAATGTTTGGGGTATCTTTTGTTTGTTTGTTGTTGTTGTTGTTTAACGCTGCACTAAGCAATATTCCAGCTTTGAGACGCCAGATGGTAAATATTCGAATCTGGACCACATGGTAAGCGAATGATCATATGAGCAACGCTCCACGCCGTCGGGACACGATGTGTATATTGGCACTGAGAAGCAGTAGTTGATGTATCCGACAGAATGAGTGAGAAAGAGTTGTATGTCGCTTTTGGCAACATGTCAGTCAATCTCATTAAAATCAGATCTTAGTTCTCGCTACCTTTGAACAAAGATCTGAGGACATCCGATTACGGGTCACGTCAGACCGACCTTGCGCGAACTTTGACCGACAAATGGAATGACCAATCAGAAGGCAGCTTTCTCGTGCTTTACGGCACTAATTTCAAATTGGCGACTTCGCTTCGAAACATATTTTGACAAATTCCGATTAAAAATTTGAAACCTGAACAAAAAACATTCTTGAATGGGTAATAGATGGTCTAGATTGTAAGGAATCAGTCGTTAAACCCGTAACTATAGTTCGGTATACCCAATGTTAAAGTTTTCGAGGTTGTATGATTAGAAATCACACTCCGACTGTCACTTTCATAATCTGGTAAGCGACGCACTGATTGGTCGGATGAAAGGTCGGTCTGACATGACCCCTAATGGGATGTCTTCAGATCTTTGTTTAGCGGTAGCGAGAACTAAGGTCTGATTTTAATGAGATTGCATGTCAGTCATATTACGGCGAGGGGACACGAAGGGAAGCGAACCCTGTTTCTCGCCGTGATGAACCTACGCTCTACAACAGATTTACCAACCCGCTATCGTGAACAATATAATATTTTTGAAATTACGTATGGGCATTAACAGTCGGTGAGCAAATGTTGTATGCCGCAGGTGGTGAAATTTTCCTCTTGACCCTACTAACCAGTGGTTGATAGCAAGAGGTCTTCAGCAACCCATGCTTGCCGTAAAAGGCGACTATGCTTGTCGTAAAAGGCGACTAACGGGATCGGGTGGGCAGGCTCGCTGACTTGGTTGATGCACGGTCATCAATGCCAATTGCGTGGGTTGATGCACATGATATTAATCACTGGATTTTCTTGTCCAGACTCCATTATTTACAGACGGCCGTCATATAGCTGGAATATTGCTGAGTGCGGCGTTAAACAACAAACCAACCAAATCAAATTTTATAACCAACCGATACCCAAATTGTCGACAAACAATGGATACAGGGTTCTATATTGGTCACGTATGATCCCTGTAAAAAACATCAACAGTGGCTTCACTTGCCTACACAGCAATCGATACAATGCACCTTTTGCACCATGCTAATCATAGGTTTATTTTTGGGTGGTTGAATAATCAGCAACTATTTTGTTCGAATCCGATACAATGCTACCTCCCCCCAAACCCACTCCTTGACAGTGAGAGCCCGCCTCTATACCCCCTAAGACACACACACACCACGCACGAACACATACGAATACATCTGACATAACGATTTCAAGCGCGAAATGTCACGTGGTATTTCTCATGTACTATTTCAACAAGTGACCAATCTACGGTACAAATCCTGGTCTGTTGGTTACACGCAAGTGACACCTGCACACACAACTGTTCTTCTAATATTGAATATATTACGGTTAGAAAAAAAAGCCATCCTTATCCTTCCAGGATTAAACCGTTCATCACGTAACGTGACATAACACCTGACACCATCTCGACTGTGGGGCTGTTCAAGGTAAGTTGCTTGCTCCGATACGTGTGACAGAATTAGAATTCCATCACATTTTGATTGATACATGAAACATATACAGGTGTATATAACGAACAATTTAACCACGTTTCTTGCAGGGGGTATATAACGTATTTATTAACCTTGTCTCCAGCAGAGGGGAAATGGCAAATCTATTAGCCATGTCTCCAACAGGGGGTGTATTATTTTTTATTAACCATGTCTCCAGCAGGGAGTATTTAACATTTCTATTAACCATGTCTCCAGCAGGGAGTATTTAACATTTCTATTAACCATGTCTCTAGCAGGGAGTATTTAACATTTCTATTAACCATGTCTCTAGCAGGGAGTATTTAACATTTCTATTAACCATGTCTCTAGCAGGGAGTATTTAACGTTTCTATTAACCATGTCTCCAGCAGGGGTATATAAAATACATTTTAACTATGTCTCTTACAGAGAGTATGTAACATATATTTTAACCATGTCTCTAGCAGAGGGTATGTAAAATATATATCAACTATATTTATCTCTTGCAGGGAGTATAGAATATATCTCTTAACCATGTATCTAGCAAGGGTGTGTGTAAGATATATGATAATCATGTGTCTTGCAGGCGTCATTTAACACGTTAGTGTTGAGACTGAACATGGACCTGTTGGCCACACATATTGACGTGTAGCTGTTTGCCCTGCCACGCTTTCTGTTTTCTGTGTATACAACTGCACGCTATGCACCACGTGCAACAACAGAACGAAGTGTGTGACAGTTTGAACTCCCATGAGATTTACAACACTGTATTTTTCATAGGTGACACCTGATGGTACATTAGGGACAACGTCTCTCACTTTCTGTCGGATCTACCAATGTGAAACGGTAAGGTTAACCCACATAATGCCTTTTCTTAAAGTTATGTTCACATGTACGCCGTTGTGGTCTAATGTGCCTCGTGGCTGTCTGTCTCTATTGATCGTACTGTTCACGCATTACACGGTGGAGGGCATGTGTTCGTGACGCCGTGCACGTAGCTCCGTGTGGGTGACGTCATGTCGAGGGAGACTCCACCGACCTGATAGTGTCACTCAGTCACAACCTGACATGGACAATGAGGACGTGCAACCTTGTCCCGGAACAGTCTTGCAAAAGGTGTACAGGTATTCGACGTTGATGAAACGTGGTAGAGAAAGACAAGATTATGGATTACCAAAGCGGATCTCAACACGCCAGTCGTATCAGCCTGTGTCAGTCCTTAATGGAACTCTCGTGTCACTGGATTTTCTGGTTCATCGATCACTTGATTGTTTGGTGTGTTTATAGGCTGACTTCGCAAGGCAGGAGTACTGCTGTCGGGATCAGACAATAAATAATTACTTTTTTTCTGCAAATTGTATGAATGGCGGGTGCTACCGGGAGGGCAGACAGGCTTACCCTTTTCGCGAACACCTGGTGTCATCACTGATTTTCAGTTTTCATATAATTTCCACAGCTATTTGCCCTTTCCGCAAATTGGAATCTGTTTCCGCAGAAAATCTAGGCTGGTTATTCTCTTGCATTGACAATTTTTATTATATTCTCTTTGACAAACAGGGGCGGTCGTGTAGCGTAGTGGTTAAAGCGTTCGCTCGTCACGCCGAAGACCCGGGTTCGATTCCCGACATGGGTACAATGTGTGAAGCCCATTTCTGGTGTCCCCCGCCGTGATATTGCTGGTATATTGCTAAAAGCGGCGTAAAACCATACTCACTCACTCACTCTTTGACAAACAACCATGACATGCATAAATATTAAGGTTATAAAATATTGGATTACAAAAACTGATTATATCACTCATTAGGTATCCAAAGTTATGTTTCAACATAATGTTAAGGTATGACTTAATGTAAAACGAAATTGGGTCACAAATGTTATAAAAATGTGGTTATGGCTATGTACAGCATGAACAAAATGTAAATTTCAATTCACATTTGATATGAACTCTTTCACACAAAGGTTAAAGAATATGTACTTGCAAAACTGATGTTAGTCTTCATCTTCATCCAATAAATTTCTGTATTATAAATGTTAAAACACATTTATCATCCAAAACTGGCTCCCACAGGAGATATGCTTGGATTAGATCAAGCAATATCTACACTGTAGATATCGCTGCAATGACATTACATCACAATGCTTTGCAGACCATTGTGACGTCACTGGTTGCCATGACGTCACAATCAAATGACATCACTAATGGCTCTGCTACTGAAGCTGTTTGCAGTACTTTGTACACTGAAGACACTGCTAATTACTGTCTACAAATTGAAAAAGTTGAAAGAATGATGTTGGATGATAAATAAAATCTCACCCTCGTGTCTTTTGATATCAAATATATCAACACTCGATGATAAAAGTGGCAAAAATCCTCGGCAAGCCTCGGAATTTTTCCACTTTGAGAAGTGAGATTCTCTATATGCACAACAGTAACAGTTTGAAAGTAGTGTTAAAATAATTAGGCATGTTCTATCGAAATCTAGACGTTCCTCACATATGCTTTTAATTGACAATATCGTGACATGCCAAGGAATGCGAGAATATAGCCACTGTGTAATTTGAATAGGATTGAAGATGAGTATCATTTGTGGCTTGTGATGTATTTTCTAGTCTCAGTTTAATATTAGGTATATGCCATTAAAATCATTGTACTTTATATATGAATCTGTATAAAAGAAGGAAGCGGGGGCCCACGGGTGGCCCAGTCGTCTAAGGCGCCGCAATTCGCTATGCAGAGTTGCGTCCCTTGGGCACGCCAGAAACCTATGATCATGGGTTCGAATCTCGGTTCACCCCAATTATGTTTCTAGGTTGGTCAGCACCATATCCGTGCTCGTGGGTTTCACCAAAGTGGTAAACGTCTGAGACCTGCATCACTTCGGACTTTCCTCCCACATTAAGCTGACACGTCGTGATATAACTGGAATAATGTTAAAAGCGGCATTAAACCCAACTCACCCACTCACTCAGAAGGACGCGTACAACGTTATGGACAACAACTTCTGGCTTATTGCATTTATAGTTGTATGTAGGACTGGGACGAGTACAGATTTACTACCCGGGTACACACACCCACCACCCGGGTACCCGCTGTTGGTTTTAAAAGATAGGTACAAAATGTGCGATTGGGAATAGTTTGACCGTAGCCCTGGCAAAATGTATTTAGATACACGTATAAAACGATCTGGTCATGCCTAAAAACTGAAGTTGTCTTAAGTTTTATTTTTATTCAAACATATAATTCAGAGAGAATGCGTTAATAGTCTTGAAGAGTGAGTGAGTGTGGTTTTATGACGCTTTTAGCAATATTCCAGCAATATCACGGCTCGGGACACATGAAATGGGCTTCACACATTTCACCCATGTCAAAGTCTTGAAGAAAGGCGAACATAGGTGACTTGTGTATCCATGTAGTTATAGTGAATTTTTGTCATGAAGCAATATATCACGCGACTAACCACGGGTCCGGGTAGTCCTGTGGGCACCCGGGTCCTACTCAGGACCAACCCGACCCGAGTACCCGAGTTACCCGTCCCAGACATACAGTGTAGTTGTATGCTTACTTATTTACTCATTAGCGTCTAGAATCCAATCAATTATTTTATTAAGAAGTTCTAATGCACTAATGTTAAGAAACATGTCCATATGTTTACATTGTACTGAAGGTCTTCCTAAGTATGAAAATATAAATAAAATACAAGCTGAAAACAACACAGCTCACGGTCGCACCAGGATGCGACCCATCCCAGCTTTATAAATATTTACCCAGATTTAAATAATGATAACTCCCTAAATAGAATCCGACCTCGGCAATGTCAGACAGGCCCATATTATGACTATAAAAGTCCAGTTTCCACCCTTGCCGAACTAGGCTGGTATTATTGAGTTACAGTTTGGCTTGTCTAACGAGTCTATGCATAGTCCAATCAAAATCGCGAACCGAAATCGAAATCCGGTTGTTAAACTGTCGTGCAGATTTCGATCGATTGCAGGATTTGCAAAGCATATGCACCGCCAACTCGTTGTCAACAGATATTTTCCAAATCTTTTCATGTTTTTAATCAAGGTGCTCACGTGATTTGATGCATTTCGCAATGTAAGACCCGTTTTATCACAATATAGATCTTGATTATCGATCAGATCGTCCTGACTGGGCGCCACCTTTTTGTGTGAAGCAAACGCAAGTGACACGAGAGGTGGAATCTGATTGGTCCATAGGAGAGGCTTAGAGGGGACATAACTGGTAATAGCCACTGGTGGCGCTACGATCGAGCCCAGTAATTCAAGCCTAGTTCGGCAAGGGTGAAACTGGACTTTTAAAGTCAGTTAACTCTCTTGCCTCGGGAAGATGTATAATGAACGGGAGGCTTAAGTTAGGTATTTCCCGGATGTTCCCACAATTTGTACGTCGATTATCTGCACCTCCTAATACTGAAGTCATATCTCTCCCACTTTTTGGTGCCAGCGTTCGGCCATTGCGTTTATCAAGGTTGCCCATCTACAAACATGGGGCACAACTCACTAGACAAATCCCTCTGAAAAATAACGTTGTCCAATTTTCGTCATCTATTTGCGAGCGCATCTTCGAATCTCCAGAAATGATAGAAGTGATGTTTTATCGTGAAATAAACCACGCTTCGTTCTTCGTAGCTATCTTATATTATATAATAAAACTATTGTATACTTTATGTGAGGTCAATACCTGTTGACATGGACTCGAGTGAGTGAGTGAGTTGTGTTTAACGCCGCTTTTAACTGTATTCCTGTCATATCACGGCGTGTCAGCTTAATGTGGGAGGAAAGCCCCAAGTGACTCAGGTCTCAGACGTTTACCACTTCGGTGAAACCTAAGAGCACGGGTGTGGTGATGACAAACCTAGAAACATAATCGGGCCGAACCGGGATTCGAACCCATGATCATAGGTTTCTGACGTGCCCAAGGGACGCACCTCTGTACAGCGAATTGCGGCGCCTTAGACGACTGGGCCACCCGTGCCCCCTCTCAAAAAGAGCAATATCAACCTCAGACATAATCTTATTATGTAATCCTATGGAGGCCGTAGTTGGCAGCGCCCTCCTTCCACAAACATTCAAGCCTCACAGATACCTTCTCAGTTTTTCAAGGTGATAGCCAGGTCTACTCGCTGTCTGTCTGAATGAATACTGTCTTAATAAGTATCTTTTTTCTATCAAATAATTTTAATTGTCACGTAAGGTTTATGACGGCTTCCATTGTATCACCACCATATAATTCCAGAGTGAACACCTGGTGTCATCACTGGTGTCATCACTGGTGTCATCACTGGTGCCATCACTGGCGTCACCAATGGCGTCATCACTGGTGTCACCACTGGTGTCACCACTGGTGTCTTCACTGATGTCATCACTGGTGTCATCACTGGTCTCACCACTGGTGTCATCACGTCATCACTAGTGTCATCACTGGTGTCACCACTGGTGTCATCACTGGTCTCATCACTGGTGTCATCACTGGTGTCACCACTGGTGTCATCACTGGTGTCATCACTGGTGCCTTCACTGGTGCCTTCACTGGTGTCACCACTGGTGTCATCACTGGTGTCACCACTGGTGTCATCACTGGTGTCATCACTGGTGTCAACACTGGTTTCAACACTGGTGTCACAACTGTTTTCATCGTCTGGTGTGATCACTGGTGTCATCACTGGTGCCATCACCTGGGGCCATCACTGGTCTCATCACTGGTGTCATCACTGGTGTCATCACTGTTGTCATCACTGATTTTCAGTCATCCATTCACATCATTTTCTCCACTGATTTTGCCTCTCAGCAATTAATCGGCGTTGAATCTATTTCAGCAGATATTCGAGATTGACTATCTTCTGCAGTTGACGTTGTATTGTTACAACTATGAAACTACACATGTGTGCTTTCAGATTTGCGAGTGTTATTTGAAGTGAGGAAATATTAACATTTGAATCATCCGATCAACGTCTGAAAACACACATAGTTTATCTCCTAAATCACAAATGAACAACGATGACTTATGAATCATCTAGTCTACTAGTCTGAAATATACACACTTCACTTAAGTCAGATGACGTAACGTTGTCAATGGTAGCGTCATAGCGAATGTTCTTAACAATGCAATCTATGACGTCATATTGCCTTATCTGACCAATCAGCGTTTGCGATATGAAGTTATTATTAAGTTTATCAATAGGGCTGCAACGATACAGAAAGGTCAGGATACGATACGCATCTCGATATTCTGGTCACGATACGATACGTATCTCCAAACGCAATGATAAAGAAAACAAGACTTAAAGCATGTCAAGATTGAACCTTTCATGATTTTGGGACAGTCAAAATTATTTTATAATAACAAGACTACTGAAGTGGTTAGGCTTCAAAGTGGAACTTTCCTTCAAAACAATTCAAAGTTCAAACACCAGAAAATAATAAATGTACTTCACCAGTGATACAACTTCAAAGAATTTTGATGCAATGGTCGAATAAATTGTATCTGAAATAATTGTTTTATCAGGAATAATATATTCCAATATCGTGTTACTTTAGTTGCAGCTTTTACTATATATATTCTTAAAATTATAAGAACCACAAGCGTAGGATACTGGTGATTATTGTTGCAGGATATTTATACGTATGGAACAATTTGACCAGTCACCGTAGGGACTTCCCTCGCTACATGTATTTCGATTGCGAAAACGTTATGTCGACATATATTAGCCAAATTGCCACAAATATGACTTTTAACGAGTCAAAGTAGGGCATTGTTAATATATGTATCCATTCTCTAGCAACTTAAGTTCGTTTCAGTGCGTCAAAAGCGGTAATCTGACCGTGGTTGCTGTATCTCTTCACACACGATTTCACCTAACTTAATGAAAACAATATTAAATGAAATTTCGAATAAAATTAATAAAATATATTACAAACACAAGTCTAGATATACAATGAACAGGTTTTAATAAAAAAGATAGTATAAAAATGGCATTGAATTGCGTACTTCAGTTCGGATTTGCTGACCGGTGTTATGTGCTTGCGGTGATCAGCTAATAATGTTTTTGGAGATGGGGAAAAACACCTGTCAGTGTAAAACCTGAGCTTATTAAAAATGTAAGATTAGTACGTTTTTTGGAGCCATGCGTGACCGCGCGCTATAACCAAGTTAGCGGTTTATTGAAATGCATAATAGTAAGGAAACGCGGTACTTGGGATTTGCGTTCCGTATCGTGGCGTATCGATAAATGGGCCCACGTTTATCGTATATCGTATCGTGGGTCAAGTATCAGGATGCATCGGAATATCGGTGTATCGTTTCACCCTTAGTTATCAATGTGATTATCTTTTTAAGGTTCTATTGCGATAGCTCTCAGAAAATGGCTGACAGAATACCTAGGATACGTCTGAGCAGCGGCCACAGCATGCCTATGCTGGGGGTTGGAACGTACAGTTGTTCGAAGGTTTGTGCTCATGTAGAGATACTGGGATCATCTTGGCTATATCCTAAAAACTACAATACTCCTCACAGATGAAGTAGACAGAGAAACTGACACAATCTGACCCCAGATGTTGACTTCATCGTTTGTGCTCAACTTCAAATGGCACTATCAATCACATATACTGAACACAAAAACTTAGGGATCATGAATATGTTGGAGACATTCTTTTGTAGGGAAGAGTGAGCACACAATTTCATCAAAATAACTTTTTGTTCAGTATATGATGTTTTGTAATAATAATGCTCACGATGAATGTATTGTTTACGTCATAATCTCTCCTAAGTTATTCCAAGTAATATGTGAATGTGAATATTAATTGTATCAGCTCAACGAGGTCGGGAATGCTGTGAGGACGGCTGTACAGATAGGGTACCGCTACATTGACACGACCTCGACCTATGAAACGGAACAGGAAATTGGAGTCACTATCAAACAACTGATAAAAGAAGGAAGAATAAAGCGGGAAGAGCTTTTCATTGTGACGAAGGTAGGAAGTCACATGCGATGTTCAGCAAGATGGCAATGTCAGAATTACAGCAAGATGTGTATGTGTAGAATTACAGAAACATGCCAATTTGCTACACACATTTACTTTTTGATGTCATTCCACAAGACATGGACATGTTGGTACCATTCTACACACGTGGATATATTGGTGCCATTCTACACACATGGATATATTGGTGCCATTCTACACACATAGATATATTGGTACCATCCTACATACATGGATATATTGGTGTCAATCTACACGCATTGACATATTGGTACCATCCTACATACATGGATATATTGGTGTCATTCTACACACATGGATATATTGGTGCCATTCTACACACATGGACATATTGATACCATTCTACACACATGGACATATCAAGGCTATTCTACACACATGGTTGTATTGGTGCCATACACACAGATGGTCATATTGGTGTAATTCTACACACATGGACATACTGGTGCCATTCTACATAATGGACACAGTGGTGCCATTCTACACACATAGAGATATTGGTGCCATTCTACACACATGGACATATTGGTACCATTTTACACACATTGACATTTTGGTACCATTCTGCACACATGGATATATTGGTGCCATTCTACACACATGGACATATTGGTATCATTCTGCACACATGGACATATTGGTTCCATTCTCAGACATGGCCATTTTTGTTACAATTCTACACACATGGACATATTAATACCATTCTACACACATGGATATATTGGTGCCATTATACACACATGGACATATTGGCACCATTCTACACACATGGACATATTGGTTTCATTCTCAGACATGGACATTTTGTACCATTCTACACACATCGATATATTGGTGCCATTATACACACATGGACATACTGGTACCATTATACACACATGGACATTTTGGTACCATTCTGCACACATGGATATATTGGTGCCATTCTACACACATGGACATATTGATACCATTCTACACACTTCTGTTGTCTGAGGCGTCGCAATTCGCTTTGCAGAGTTGCGTACCTTAGTCGCGCCAGGATCAACCCAACGTGGGTTCGACTTCAAGTATACGGAACAACAAAGTTCCTGTGACATTGAATAAGATTTAATGTAAAGTTACGTTTGTTACCAAATCTGAAACAATTTCGGTTTGCATCTGATAAAAGACTCCCGTAAGTGTTCAAATGGTTTAATTTGCCATACTGACTTCAGAAAATGCGTGATTTCATTAAAAAAAACCATGAACATGCCAAAATGTCAATTTACAAATCAATAGCGTGTGTGTCCACCTCTGGTTGCGATGCAAGCAACACATCTTCGTCTAATGGAACGGACCAGGCGTCGCACAAAGTCCTGTGGGATATCTGTCCATACCTGCTGGAGCATGTTTCGAAGTTCCTGGAGTGTCTGTGGAACACGTGGTTGACGTCGAAGGCGCCGATCCATCTCATCCAACATTTGCTCGATTGGTGAGAGATCAGGGGAGCGAGCCGGCCAGGGGATGACATTCACGTTGTTTTGTTGAAGAGAATCCTAACAAGTCGAGCAATATGAGGCCGGGCGTTGTCATGCTGAAAGGTAATGCCTGGGCCATGACGACGCAAAAACGGTAGAACAACTGGGCCGATGATCTCGTCGCGGTAGCGCTATCCATTGATATTTACCTCTACTACTATCAAACGGGTCCTCTGTCTTGCTGTAATCCCACCCCATACCATAACGCTGCCGATCTTCTTCCATGACACAATGATTGACGTAACGTTCACCTCGACGTCGGTACACTCGAATCCGTCCATCAGGGTGGCCGAGGTGAAAACGAGACTCGTCAGTGAATAGAACTTCTCCCCACTGCATGGCCGTCCAGCGTAGACGCTGTCTGCACAAGACGTGCTTGACGGTGGTGTCCTGTCAAAATGGGACGTCTGGCGGGTCTTCTGGGACAATCCCTGCACATCAGAGGCGACGACATACGGTTTGTGAAGATATTCTAAGGCCAGGGATGCTTCTTGCAGTCACTGTTGCTGGCTGGAATCGATTTCGTAGGAGTTGTTCGATTCCAGTTGTCATGTCGATTATCACGCGTTGCCTGCCACTCCGAAGATGATCTCTGACTGCATTCGTCTGTTGCCAAATGGTGTTTCTGTGGACGTTAAATTGTCTTGCAACATCACGTTGACTCGATCCTGCTTCAAGCATACCAATGGCTCGCAGACGCTCATTTTCGGACGGGCGTGGCATTTCGTAATGTTCAATAATTGCGTAATTTTGTTGATTTTCTGCTTGGGTGTTGTCAGCACGATGCTAAACAATGCATATAAAATCCCGTTGAAGCACATGTTTTTATACCCGTTCTTGGGTAGTGAAATGCATGGGGCTGGCATAAAAGTCAACTTTTGCATGGAATGCATGCTTTTCTGTAGCAGTTGCATTTTTGTGATTTGATTCCATAGATGTACTACAATATTGAAAACCACTAAAATATTGGTGTCACAGGAACTTTTGTTGTTGAGTATATCATGTTTCTAGATTTGTCAGCACCGTGCGCGTGCTCTGGGGTTTCACCAAAGTGGTAAACATCTACAACTTTCACATCCGGCCCTCGTCCCACATTAAACTGGTAAGCTGGGATATAACTGACATTTGGTCCCAGCAGCGTTAACCCGAGTCACCCACTATCCCGTATTGTGGTGTTTGTTACACGGTCCTGAACGCCCATAACACGTACATGTACCTTACGATTCCAGGTTTCGGGCCAGTGTCATGAACCGGAGCATGTAGAGCCAGCGTGTCTAACGTCACTGGAGGCCCTGAACATGGATTATATAGATCTGTATCTGATACACTTCCCCTTGGCCAACGTAGTGAGTCAAGACCTCTTTTTTTTGTTTAAATATCCAGGTAGCCATAAGTGACGATTAATGTATTTGTTGAATATAACATTTATGTTGCATAACTTTATCAAAGTGTTACTAATCATAATAATTTCCGACATCGAGAAAAATTCCCTGAAAATGTAATAGCGAAAATGTATTTGAAACCGAACGCGTAACCCATGGCAAATGTTAGTTTGAACAGTGTTGCGCTATGCGATGTTTCTACCATTCTACTCATCTGTTTTCTCTTCATCTGGCCACACAATCAAATGCAGCTATTACCACAATTGGAAAGAGTCATGCCTATATTGAAATATTGGAAGAACTTCGCACGCCTAGATTTCTCGACATATGTTTTTGGGTGGAGCGGGACGTGTTTGTTCTTTTCGCGAGCACCTGGTGTCATCGTTTGAGGTGATTCATTCGTTTGGTTTTCGCCGCTACTTTGCATTTTGCGCCTTCTAGAATCTGTTACCTTGGTGGGGACATGGGTGGCCCAGTCGTCTAAGGCGCCAAGATTCGCTGTGCAGAGTTGCGTCCCTTTGGTACGCCAGAAACCTATGATTGTGGGTTCGAATCCCGGTTCGCCCCGATAATGTTTCTAGGTGTGTCAGCACCATACCCGTGCTCGTGGTAAACGCCTGAGACCTGCATCACTTGGGGCTTTCCTCCCACATTAAACTGACACGCCGCGATATAACTTGAATACTTTTAAAAGCGGCGTTAAACCCAACTCACTCACTGTTAGATCGGGTGGTCAGGCTCGCTGACTTGGTTGATGTATGTCATCACATCCCAAATGAGAACATCATGATGTCAATCACTGGATTGTCTGGTCCATACTGGATTATTTTCAGACCGCCGTCATATAGCTGGAATATTGCTTAGTGCTGCGTTTAACAACAAACAAACAAGAAGCAAACCGACTGCTAGCATAGTTGTATTAAGGGTCCGTGTTGTATTACATGAGTGTTGTTGGTGTCTGTCAACTGACACTTTCAGTTTAACGTTGCCCGCCTTAGTGGTGAGTGACAGTAGTTATATCACAATGTATGTAGAAGGTCATTCACGGTGAAGCGGCCGGCAAATCTGTTGTGTTCATCACAGACATCACAATCAAGATTGCACATGCGACTGATAGTGTGACAGAATTGACCAGTAATGGAAAGAAGATTTATAACAACTATTTTACGGGTGACGTAACACTTGCTCATATACAAATAATGATGACAGTTCATTAAATGTAAAAGACCATATCTACTAAATATTTCTCTGAATTATCTGTTGAAATATGATTTGGCGCTCTGGAACGTAAAGCGAATGCGATCTGTAGTTGCTTCAATGTCGTCGTTACATTCACGACACTATTACTTCTTCATTTCCATTTAAGTCGTTCCACAGCAGAAAATGGCAATTTCAAACGGTGACTCATACAACAGCCAATAGCAAGCGTGTAAGTGGTATGGATGAACAAACCTGTTTACAAAACCGCTCGTAATCGTCACAAAAGCCTGTGTATTCAAGCATGCAGCATGTCCACGAGGCTTACTGTACCCAGCTCACACATTGAGCCTCCATCCTGCAGTGCTTACTGTACCCAGCTGACACATTGAGCCTCAATCCTGCAGTGGTTACTGTACCCAGCTAACACATTGAGCCTCCATCCTGCACTGCTTACTGTAACCAGCTCACACTTTGAGCCTCCATCCTGCAGTGCTTACTGTACCCAGCTGACACAGTGAGCCTCTATCCTGCAGTGCTAACTGTACCCAGCTGACACATTGAGCCTCCATCCTGTGGTGCTTACTGTAACCAGCTGACACAGTGAGCCTCCATCCTGCGGTGCTTACTGTACCCAGCTGACACAGTGAGCCTCTATCCTGCGGTGCTTACTGTAACCAGCTGACACATTGAGCCTCCATCCTGTGGTGCTTACTGTAACCAGCTGACACAGTGAGCCTCCATCCTGCGGTGCTTACTGTACCCAGCTGACACAGTGAGCCTCTATCCTGCAGTGCTTACTGTACCCAGCTGACACAGTGAGCCTCCATCCTGCAGTGCTAACTGTACCCAGCTGACACATTGAGCCTCCATCCTGTGGTGCTTACTGTAACCAGCTGACACAGTGAGCCTCCATCCTGCGGTGCTTACTGTACCCAGCTGACACATTGAGCCTCTATCCTGCGGTGCTTACTGTAACCAGCTGACACATTGAGCCTCTATCCTGCGGTGCTTACTGTAACCAGCTGACACAGTGAGCCTCCATCCTGCGGTGCTTACTGTAACCAGCTGACGTAATGAGCCTCCATCCTGCTAGGAACTGTAACCAGGTGATATAACGATGTATGTTATCTAGCTTAGCCGTATTGTGCTTGGGCGTGTCTGTGTCTTCATATGAGTGTTTCCCCAGGACCAGGAGCGGACCCAGTCGACCGTGACGGACTACCTGGACACATGGAGGGTAGGTAGCACCCAGCCCAACTCCTGGAGGAAGGAAACACTGAACCGTTAGGCGATAACTACAAACTTGCCCCCTTTTGATATTGTCAAAACTATTCAATCTGGTTAACTTCCAGGTAGCAATGTGAATAGTTAATGAATATTCTTGATAAATTTGCAAGGTATATTCATGTTTCTCCTTCCTTTTTGTCCAACTGTGCATAAAAATATATTATCCGTTCATTAAACAGACCTTGACTATATTGCTAGAATAAAGGCGACATCCTCTTTTGGTCTCTGATTTTAGAAATGTCCTTTCCCATCTCTACCATGAAACGTTTGAAAGCTTTACTAAGGCATAGAATGTTGTAATCTTAATCAAACAATTTTTAAGCAAGAATCTATATAAGACTTATATGAGACGCTTTTTGAAATCTTTTACATGTAGACACCAAAAGTCGGATCTGCATGAATATTGCTAAAAAGGGTAAATTTGAATTTGAATTTGATTTTGTATTGTGACCAGAGTTTTTTTTTCAACTGCAGCTGCAAAACCAGATATGTTTTAATAAAAACTTTTCTCTCGTAAAACACATTGCAGCAATGTATTATTTGTGCAGACCATTGGTGTACATGGTGTACAAAGTTGAAAATCAAATATTTTGACAGAATTGAATTTGGTTCCCTTCTGAGATTGCTTTTAGCAGTATTCCAGCAATATCACGGCGGGGGACACCAGAAATGGGCTTAAGACATTGTACCCATGTGGGGAATCGAACCGGGTCTTCGGCGTGACGAGCGAACGCTTTAACCAATAGGCTACCCGCCCGCCCCCTGGAACTTTAAATGCACTTACAAAAGAGAAATACACATGTCTAAAGTCAAGCAAAAAGTTGATAGTACTGATGTGTAGTTTGGGCTGATAACTTCCAAACATACTGGCCTAGAATATAACATTTTTGTATACGTTACTTCCACCAAGTTCTTTGATCAAACAATTGAAGACATGGTATTTTTGAGAAGTTCCACGTGAATATATTTTCCTCCCTTCACACCAGGCCATGGAGAAGCTGGTGGACAAGGGCCTCGTCAAGTCTATCGGCGTCTCCAACTTCAACCAACAGCAGCTGGAAAGGATTCTCGCCATGGACGGCCTCAAGCACAAGCCTGCGAATAACCAGGTAGATGAGGATTTGATAAAAGAAATCTGTGAATGCAAATACTATAAAATAACTGAGGTACATTCATCTTACTGTTGTTTCATTTCAGGTGGAGATAACTCCATGTCCGTCCCAGGACAAGCTACTGCAGTACTCCCTGCAAAACGGCATCTCAACTACTGGGTGCGGACCATTTGGAGCGCCAGGACAAACCTAGTGAGACACGTTATTCAATGATTGAAATATTGCAAATGCACAAAAACCTAGCTGATGTAGATGTCTTTAAAGTCACGGACACGGGTAACCCAGTCGTCTAAGGCGTCACAATTCGACAGTGCAGAGTTGCGCCCCTTGGCGTGCCAGAAGCTTCTGAACTTTGGTTCAAATCCCGATTATGTTTACTGCGTTCACAGTTCCATACCGTGCACGTGGGCATCACTTCGTGCTTTCCTTTCACAAGCCGACAGTTCACGATAAACTGAAATATTGTTGGATGCGGTGTTAAACAAAACTACTCTGCACTGCATGTATGACCAGAACCAACGAAAGCCACTTTGTAAGATTACAAAGACCCTGGTACATACGTGTACAAACCCACCCAGGCACGCACGCACACACATGCACGCAGTGTAGTTCTATATATGACTCATTTTATAATCCATTTTATAATCCATAGATTGAGTGACCACTTTATCGTATATATGTATATATTATGTATATATGATAATGTAGTCACTCAATCTATGGGTTTACATTGCAGTATGTCCAAGGACTCGCCCGACTGCCTGGAACATCCAACAATTGTCAACATCGCAAATAAATATGGAAAATCAGCAACGCAGGTATGTTTATACCTTGGTAATATTGTAGCTCAGTAGGCACCCTGTTTCTCCTGACAGACGTTGTTATCAACTATGTACGACTGACCCTAATGTTTCCCGTGATAGATGTTGTTATCATCTATGTCCTACTGATCCTAATGTTTCCCGTGGTAGATGTTAGCAACTGTGCTCTACTGATCCTAATATTTCCCGTGATAGATGTTAGCAACTGTGTACTACTGATCCTAATATTTCCCGTGATAGATGTTAGCAACTGTGTACTACTGATCCTAATATTTCCCGTGATAGATGTTAGCAACTGTGTACTACTGATCCTAATGTTTCCCGTGGTAGATGTTAGCAACTGTGTACTACTGATCCTAATGTTTCCCCTGATAGATGTTAACAACTATGTACTACTGATCCTTATATTTCCCGTGATAGATGTTGTTAACAACTATGTACTACTGATCCTAATGTTTCCCGTGGTAGATGTTAACAACTATGTACTACTGATCCTAATGTTTCCCGTGATAGATGTTGTTAACAACTATGTACTACTGATCCTAATGTTTCCCGTGGTAGATGTTAACAACTATGTACTACTGATCCTAATGTTTCCCGTGATAGATGTTGTTAACAACTATGTACTACTGATCCTAATGTTTCCCGTGGTAGATGTTAACAACTATGTACTACTGATCCTAATGTTTCCCGTGATAGATGTTGTTAACAACTATGTACTACTGATCCTAATGTTTCCCGTGATAGATTTTAACAACTTTGAAATACTGATCCTAATATTTCCCCTGATAGATGTTGTTATCATCCATGTACGACTGATCCTAATGTTTTCCGTGATAGATGTTATCAACTATGTACTACTGATCCTAATGTTTCCCGTGATAGATGTTATCAACTATGTACTACTGACCCTAATATTTCCCGTGATAGATGTTGTTAACAACTATGTACTACTGATCCTAATGTTTTCCGTGATAGATGTTATCAACTATGTACTACTGATCCTAATGTTTCCCGTGATAGATGTTGTTAACAACTATGTACTACTGATCCTAATGTTTTCCGTGATAGATGTTATCAACAATGTACTACTGATCCTTATGTTTCCCGTGATAGATGTTATCAACTATGTACTACTGATCGTAATGTTTCCCGTGATAGATGTTGTTAACAACTATGTACTGCTGATCCTAATATTTCCCCTGATAGATTTTAACAACTATGTGCTACCGATCGTAATATTGCCCCTGATAGATTTTAACAACTGTGAAATACTGATCCTAATATTTCCCGTGATAGATGTTATTATCATCCATGTACGACTGATCCTAATGTTTCCCGTGATAGATGTTATCAACTATGTACGACTGATCCTAATGTTTCCCGTGCTAGATGTTGTTATCAACTATGTACTACTGATCCTAATATTTCCTGTGATAGATGTTAACTATGTACAACCGATCCTTATGTTTCCTGTGATAGATGTTATCAGCTATGTACTACTGATCCTGATGTTCCTTGTGGTAGATGTTGTATGAACTATGCACTACTGATCGTACTGTTATTCTCTTATATATTGCTACTTACGATGTACTGACGTGTGCACCAGGTGATCCTCAGGTGGGGCATACAGAGAGGCTATGCAGTAGTTCCCAAGGGTACGAATCCATTTTGTCTGGTCCAGAACATGGATGTGAGTATCAGTTTTGCCTGAAAGAATGTCTCTCTTAGTAGTGTTGTATTCAGTTAATTTGATCTCAGTTTATTGCATATCCATGTGTCAAGAGAATATAAGGGCACTTTTTGGTGTTTGGTGCATACCTCGAAGTTTGTTGTTGCATCAGTTGTAACATTCCGAGGTACAGTCGAGCATCCTCTGTCAACGAAGACTTCAAAGAGCGTCATATATATCTTGCTCAGAAGTTATTTGAGCAGGGTTACACCATTCAAGGCCTCAGTAAAGCTTTCAAAAGTGTTATGATATGCATGTGGAGGACATTTGGACAATGGTGTTCGATGCGATTCTATCTTCTTTAACATTGCACCATCCGTTCCCATGTTTTTTTCGGGGGAACAGTTGCCCTGCGTTCACATGTGTTTGTATCGGATAAGCTTACCTTTCCGCGAACACCTGGTATCATCACTATTTAAGATCGGAGGAATACAGGACGTTAACGTCACCAATTGTAACAGAACCAATGTCTATATGTAGCAGGTACGCATTGAAAAAGAATAATTATAAGTCCTGATTTGTTTTTAAAAACCCAACAATTATTGGAATTTTTTCTTTTTTTCAGATATTTAACTTTCAGCTCAGTACGGATGATATGGAGTCAATGCTTGCTCTGGACGAAGGCTATAAAGTCAACCAAGAACAGTCCCAATCGCAAACACAAAATGTGAAATGAATATTGCCTGTGAGGTCTTGAACGCGACACAGTCACTATCTCTATACAGCACTATAGTGTTATGAGTGAGACGTCATACATGATAATAAAAGGGACGAAACCCTTGCCAAAATCTAAAATACCCAGCAATGACCAGCAGTGACAGACAACTGTGGAGCTACAAGTTCTACTACACCTGAAACAAAATGCAGTTAGTACCAAATAAATACATAGTTGACATGTTTAGCGTTTTATCATGTTATCATTATGTACCTGAAGTATATATACTGCTCAAAACAGTTAAGGATCCTTCTTATTACTATAGTTGATGCCGTGACAGATTAATTAGAGTAATATGAAAAAATCGTGTGATCCTTAACTTTTTTGAGTAGTATGGAAATGTTTCATATAGTTACTGGCTACCATGTGAAGCTGGTGACAAAGTTTCATATTAAACTACAACTCGCTTAATCGTATAACATTATGGCATATTCGGAGACAGATTATTCTGTGCTTATTAGAAGTTAACGCTTTCATTTGAGAACGGAAGTACACGAAAACAAGTCGAACAGCATGCGTTGCGTCGCCAGGTTGTGTTGTGGGAAGTGAAATTCATGCGCAAAAGAAATAGTTCCAAGTGAGGGAAGCACTTTCATTTGAAAACAAAGCACAGAGAAACCGTTGGAACAGTCATTTGTTCTGCGCCAGGTTGTGTCAAGCTAGCTAAACTATGGTCTTCGGTAGATCGAGGTCCCAGTCATTTTCTCTACTACAGTAAAGAACGGTTATAACGAACTCAAAGGGACTGCTAATTTTAGTTCGTTATAACCGTAGTTCGTTATAAGCATATATACAGCATAACTACAGCAAATAGTTGGGACTAAAAAGTAAGTTCGTTATATCCGTCAGTTCGTTATAAGCGTGTACGTTATAACCGTAGTTTACTGTAATTCCAGCCTACTTCGGCAAGGGTGGAAGCTGGACTGGTACACACACACTAACACACACACACACAAACACAAACGAACACTCACTAACATTTTTTAACACTCACACACACCTTAAAAATCAGGCAGGTTAGTGCAAACGTTCGCACCAGGTGTGACTTTAATGGCTATAATTGATGAATTAGGCAATAAAGGAATATGGTTGCAAAAAATAAGACCGAAGGTGTTGCCACTAACATGAGTACACCACATGACCTTTCACTTCTTCCGCTACTGTGCATACTATCTATGAATCGAAACACCCCATGCTACATTCCGTCAGAGTACATAGATTGACGACAATACACTATGGTTCGGGTTGTGAACAGGATTCCGGTGAAACTGTACTGCGTGCTAATACATGACTACATATGGGTGTGTATATACCCCCGTTGTCCAGACCCGTGAAGATCTGGGGTAATATAGGTCTTCAGCAGCCCATGCTTGCCGTAAAAGGCGACTATGCTTGTCGTAAGAGGCGACTAACGGGATCGGGTGGTCAGGCTCGCTGACTTGGTTGATGCATGTCATCGTATCCCAATTGCGTGGATCGATGCTCATGATGTCAATCACTGGGTTGTCTGGTCCAGACTGGATTATTTACAAACCGACGTCATATAGCTGGAATATTGCTGAGTGCAGCGTTAAATAACAAACAAACAAACATAGGGGTCTGTTTCAGTAGTTGATCGAGGCGGGTTGTTCTCTAGCGTTGACGTTTTGAATTCGCTGCTTCCTAGAACAATCGACTGCCTTGTTGTCCTCGGGTTATGCAAACAGTGACTAGGAGCGATGCAATCCCGAAGTGTTGATGGGGATAAGGGCAGACCCGTCTGTCAACACGGGATGTGATGGGACGTGAGTCTCACACATTGTTAGCGGCAACTCTAACATTTGAAACACGGTCCAGCTGGCCGAACTAACAGTAAAAGCCGACAGTGTCTTAACACAGGACAGACGTCACTGACAATGAAGACGTTAGGCAGACAATGTTTTGCTTGTCACAGCCTTGATTTTGTTAAAGACAAATGCAGTTTTCGAATGTTGCTGACTCGTGCAAACGTCCCAGCCCCAGGTGTGGAAGACACGCCAGAGAGAAGCTGGGCTTGTACGGGGGGACGCCAACGTCGAGTCATTGCAATCTGGAATAGTTCTTTCCTCTTCCGAAAATGGATACTCGTTTCACAAAGACATGGTTAATAACATGTATATTTTACATGCTTGTTGGAATATGGTTGATTCCCGTGAAAGGTAAGTTATTGCTGTGGAGTGGGTGAGTGTGGTTTTAAGCTGCTGTTTTAAACATCCCATCAATATAATGGCTGGGACGCCAGAAATGGGCTTCACACAATATACCCATCTGGGGAATCGAACCCACGCGTTCGGCGTGACGAGCGAATGCTTTTACCACTAGACTACTTCACCGTCCCTACTGTAGGGCTATAAGAGTTATGATTATCAATGTTCTTTTTGAACATCACATATAACGCTGTGTTAATAGGAAAACTGTGCCATAACTCTATAAAAATGTGATTAACTGCTTAAAAAGGTGTAGTAGACACATTGAAAAAGTAGAAATAACCCTACATAAGTATAATCTCTTTAAAGGTTATAGGAACTATTTCAAATCATAAGTAGTTATTAATGGGAACATTTAACATATTTCACATGTGATACGTTAGTGAGTGACATTAAAGATGTTCTAAAAATGGAATTGAGGTGAGGTGAGGTGAAATTGGGTCTAACCTCGCGTCCAAGATTATTGCACTTATATAGCGACGTGCATGTACGTGTATGTGTTTGTGTGGCTGCTTGTACTAGTCCGGACTGATGCCGATTTATAGTGCTAGTTCACTGAGATATCATGCCGCAGTTTAACATGAATACCCCACTCAGACACAGTATACTGACTCCGAGCCGACCAGTCCTTGTTTTAGCCCCTTAATGCCGAGCGCCAGACAGGGTAACAACAAGTACCATCTTTTAACGTCTTTTGGTATGACGCGGCCGGGGATCGAACCCCGGACCTTCCGCTCTCCGGGCGGACGCTCTACCACTAGACCACGGAGGCAGTAAAAAAAATGGATTTAAGATATTATGGATGTTGATGTAAATACATGGTAACAGGTGTTTTATCAAATTCCGTCCGTAGACATTTTGATTGATTATTTGCATTATGATACACACGAATGGAGACAGCATCCGCGTCATCTAGAGGAATTAGGAGCAATGTTTGTTCATGTGTTCCTCTTTAAAACTAGTTTAAAAAAACCCATTTCAGTGTGATGAAAAATACTTGGCCGTTGAAGTCGTAGTGTTGAATGAGCCGTGTTAGACGCAGAGTTGAACAGTATTTCGGTAATAGGGCGGGTGGACAGCTTCATGTGGTAGTTGCAGGTCTGAGACGTTTACCATTTAGGTGAGACCAGGAATGGTGCCGAAAAAGTGCAAAAAAGTACGAAAAAGTGCTTTCGCTGACTTATACAAAACAACTTGTATAAATATTTGTTTAATAAACTCTTTAGAAAATAGTGCATCATGAAATATAAATGTTAATACCATGTATTAAAACAAGGATAAGTGTTGAGGACAGACATCCTATGCAAGAACCTTTATGTCGTTAAAACGTCACACCAAAGCACATCCTATAGTTTGCACGTGCCTCTCGCAATAGCGCCACACACGTGCATAGGGTGTCATGCTTGATTTTGACACTTTCAAGGAAGGTCGAGTAATCTATGTGGACCATTATTTCTGTCAATCTTATTCCTGTTAAATAGATGTGATTTACTTGATTCCATGAATTGTTTATGTGTAACTAAGCGATGCCGCGTCTGCAGGCTATTTGAACGGTGGAAACAGACATCAGCGTGCAGTGGCCAATACATTCAATGTTTCACAGTCTGTGATTAGCAGACTATGGCGCAGGTACCAACAAACCCAGGATGTTGACGATGGCCCCCGTTCAGGGCGTCCCAGGTCAGCGCAAGAGCACAGGATCAATTGATCCGAAACCAGGCCCTACGATATCGAGCTCAAAACGGGGAATGAAATTGCTGCAAACCTTCAGTCTCCATGCTCGACGGCCACGTGTTGTGCTTCCTCTTACAAATCGCCATATTGCCAACAGACGTCAACCCTGAACACAACGTCGAAACTGGGGTAATCGTCCCTGGTCACGTGCCATGTTTTCAATGAGTCCCGATTCACTTTGCACTTCATTGATAGGCGTGGTCGTGTCTGGCGTCGTCGAAATAAACGTCGAGCCAATGTCAACCTGAGACCTTATGACAGATTTGGCAGTGGATCGGTTATGGTGTGGGGTAAAGCCATGACTGAGCGCACCCCACTACATATTGTGCAAGAAAGGATGACTGGACAGTAATATCGGGACAACATACTCGCACCTTTTGTCGTCCCGTTTGCAAGGCGTTTTGGGTCCTCAAGTCGCCATTGGGAGACTCAGACACAGTATGCATCGTCGAGTGAATGAATGTTTGACAACTCGTGGCGGTATTGCGCACAAACGACAGCTTTGAAATTTTCCATCTTACCCCTGTCGTTCGTCAAGATCGTTTGTGGTCATAACATCTACTGTGATTCTTCACTACCGGTTGTAATGTGTTACCAATTCGTTGATTATTATCATGCAACTATTACTAGAAACTATTAACTCTTACAATTTTGGAAATTTTAAGTTATTTACGAATATACCCTCCATTTTTTAAGAGTATATCATGTGTCAAAGTGCATGAGGATGGTCTAAAGAAACGCTCGTAATATATATTTGGCCATGAAATAAACGCTAAAAAAACTATCTCTTAAGAACCGTGAGGCACTAATTGTTTAAATGCGATCAAAAGGAATTTGAAGTACTTACCCCACATTGCCATCACCTTTGCCTGACATCTGTGCGCTACTGTCATGTATTGTATCGCCATGGTGACTACTGATAATATAAATGAACAATTCCCTCTCATTAAAAAGAAAATGGCACATGACATGGCTTCTGCATGGATTGTCCGCGAATACGTTTACCTTGAAACCTGGGAATGTCTTGCAGTGATTACACTAACTGCTCTTCATGACTTCAAACCAGCCTTTAATCCTAAAGACTGTTTACATGAACTTAATGTCCATGATAACTCTTTAGAATACTCTCTCACAAGAAGCAGGAAATAATGTTTGTGAATAGAGGGCCAGGTCTTCCAATAAACAAAAATGACAAAACCCTTTCCATATTCATAAGAAATCTCTGTCAAATACAGAGTCGATTTACGATTCCGACTATATCATGAGCTTCGGTTTATGAATCACTATCAAATCCTGCCCAACCGTTGGCACACATGTCCTCCACATGTCTTCCATAGAACATTTTGAAAGCTTACTAAGGCCTTGAGACCGCCTCCGTGGTCTAGTGGTAGAGCGTCCGCCCGGAGAGCGGAAGGTCCGGGGTTCAATCCCCGGCCGCGTCATACCAAAAGACGTTAAAAAGATGGTACTTGTTGTTACCCTGTCTGGCGCTCGGCATTAAGGTGTTAAAGCAAGGACTGGTCGGCTCGGAGTCAGTATACTGTGTCTGAGTGGGGTATTCATGTTAAACTGCGGCATGGTATCTCAGTGGGCTAGTCGGCATACTGGTCCTAAATCGGCATCAGTCCGGTCTAGTACAAGCAGCCACACACACACACGTGCATGCACGTCGCTATATAAGTGCAATAATCTTGGACGCGACGTTAAACCCAATTTCACCTCACCAACTACTGAGGCCATGAAAGTTGTAACCTTGATGGAACAGCTTCTGAGCAAGAGTTGTATGACGCTCTTTGAATCTTGGTAGAAAGAGCATGCTCGATTGTACCTCAAAGGTTGTGAAATGCAGACGCCAAGGGCTGGAGCTGCAGGAATATTGCCCGACATAAAGGGAAAATTAGCTATTGGAAATTTGAAGTCATCACTCTTGTCATACAGTCTAGATGATTTCACAAAGTGTTTTCTCAGTAAACTGCAGATGGCATTTGCTTTCATTTTTGACAAATTGACATGAACCTCTGAAGATAGATATGTAAATATATGTATGGCCCCCACGTTTTGTAACAAAAGCCCCATGGATCGAGAAATGAAGTTTTACCGTAAGTTTACCATGTGGGATAGTGGTGTACAAAGTTGAAAATTAATTTTTTTGATAGAACTGAACGTGGTTCTTTTCTGAGATTGTTAAAGGTCAAGCAAATCCTTTGGGTTTTTTGAGAATCCACATACTATAAATTTCACTAGTCTCAAATACTTTCTGTGAAAAATAATTTCCGTCTTAGATCGTATTAAAGATTGTGGTTAATCTTTGAGATTGTATTTGGTGGTGCATGTGCTTGACCCAGCAATATATCTCTCCTTGTACGGATGTTTCTGGAGCGTTGGAATCCAGTACACAAGAGTCTTCAGCTTTAAGAGTCAAGTCAAAAGTCGTTAGTACTGATGCATGGTTTTGTAAGATTTCTTCCTCAGTTAACATACTGGTCCTATATGTGACATAATTTGATATTTCACTTGTACTAAGTTCTTTGATCAAATAATCAATGTAGACATGCTTACATATAATGGTTATGTTATTTGAGGCCTTGTCTGTCGGAAAAACTAAAACTTGTGGAACTGGACTTTTATTGTCAGTTAATTCCCTTGCCTCGGGAAGATGATCCTTTTGTCGTTTACCTGCACTGGAGGAAACATGAAAGAGAAACTATTTTTTACAGCGCCGTGTCAGCAAAGTTTTTCACCTAAAACATTGTAACCTTGACCTTCCTCTCAGTTGCCATGTAGACGGTACTGAAACTGTTTTTTTGTTGTTGATTCTTCTTCAAATTGCATCTGTGGTAATTCAAATACGCCGATATGAGCTTCATCTTAATAGACATACGCCGATATGTGCTTCATATTAATAGGCATACGCCGATATGAGCTTTATCTTAATAGACATACGCCGATATGAGCTTCATCTGAATAGACATACGCCCATATGAGCTTCATATTAATAGGCATGTGCCCTTTTAAGTAAATTTCATTTTAATAGAACTTGACATGAGGCCATGTGAGTTTCATTTTAACAGGCATACGCTCATGGGAGCTTCATTTGAATTAGAATACGCCCATTAGAGCGTCATTTTAATATTAATACGCGCACAGCAGCTTCATTTTAATAGGAATAAACACATAAGAGCTTCATTTTAATAGGAATACGCCCATTTTACTTCATTTTAATAAGAATTCACCAGGAGGACGATGATTCCAACATACATTTACCCGTTTTCCTTCAAAGTAGGCTAAACTGTTGCTTATATTTTGAAAAGTGTGTCATGAACACATTTCATGACGTACCATATTTGTACGGTATCATGAGCCCACTAGTGAATCTGTATATATATGCATGCATGCTCGACAAAGATATTTTTGTATCTATTCTATATTTATTTGTATATGTATTATGTTGTTGAAATAATTTTGTACATCTGATGCCGCTGATAGCGGCCTGAGTGTAAATAAAAGTTCAGTTCAGTTCAGAGAACCAACTAATGTTTGTTGATTAAGGGAGAAGAAGTAGCTCCGAAACGTCGTCACAAAGAATAAAATAAGTTGCTGTCCATTAAAAAGTGTCATGCTTTCATGATCATGTTCTTCCTACCGCTAAATGCCTATCATAGACTTCCCCTCATGTTTGTTGACCAGGCTGCGAGGAATCCTGTCGCTTCTCCTACGACCAGAGCTTCAAGGAGTACAGCCACAGATGCGACCAAACCTCCACAGGCAACATCGTCGTCACCGACCGCGCCCACTTCGACGGCACGGCGTTCCTATCCCTGCCCATGTTCCAGCAGAACCCTCTGCGGCCCTCTTTCTCCATCGCCTTCATCTTTAAGTACTTGGGGCAGCATACCTTCCGTGACGTGGCCATACTCAGCAACGGCTGCGTGGACACTCCACCGACCATAGAGTTCAAGCTGCGACAGGAACGGCGTCACAATGAGCTCGCAACGACGACCCTCAGTCTTAAGATGACGAACGACGACAGGGATATGAACATCACCGTGAGAAACATCAACGTGGTAAGGCTCATGTTCGCAGATAATGGTGGCGGTGGGGAGCCTATAGTCTGTCATACAGACCCTGAAACAAATATATCCAATACAGCCCATGCAAGTCTATAATGTTTGGCAAGTCTAGATTACTGCAGTATCAGAAAATGAAGAGAGTCTTTTTACCATATTTTATACCTATAATTTAACAACTGTTTTTCAGAGACAAGCTGTTAGTTTAGGAAGCCTTGTGGTTAAAATGTTGCGTTCCAACCGCAAGGATATCCCACACCACCCCCACCCCCACCCCCACCCCCACCCCCCGGAGTAAATACAGCGGGGAAGGGACCATCTTAATAGAGTTCAATCAGGAGTGAAGGTCTGTGTTATCTGTGTAAGTTCGAGTTGGTTATTCTATATTGCCCATCTACATTTTAAGAGTGACAGCGACAGTTTTGTTTGTCAAACCTTCACTCATGAAACTTATGTGGGGAAGCCACTCCCATCCTTTAAACCCGTGGTTAATGTTACTGGTAAAGATCTTCGATGCACACTGTGAGTTCGGGGCCGCCTCATGGGTCAACGGATAAAGCACCTGCCAGCGGACCTGAGAGTGGGTGGTTCGTTCCCCGGCCGTGTCATACCAATAGACGATGAAATATGGTACTTGTTCCCAATACGTGCAATTGTCACAGATATATGTTCCTGTTGTAAATAAATGTTCCTTGTGCTATATTTCTCAAGGGGTATTATTCCCATGGAACAGTTTTTACCACGATACATTTACACTGGCAATATTGGTTCTGGATGGAACTAATTGTGGAATTGATCATCGTTGGGCACCCACGTCGCTATATAAGTGCAATAAACTTGAACGCGACGCTAAACATCCTTTCTCCTCACCTGTGCACTAGGGTGACTTTCATCCCGGTCTCCTCCTCTGTAGAACGTCCGCCAGGAGGTGCTGGTGCAGATCGCCCAGAACGAGACGGCCATTGAAGTCCAGGTAGCAGGCCAACCGAGACAGACATTCGCTAAAGGTGAGCCACTAAACAATAGACATCAGTGAGTGAGTTGGGTTTAACGACGCTTTTAACAATATCCTAGTTATATCACGGCGTGTCAGCTCAATGTAGGAGGAAAGCCCTAAGTGATGCTTTCTTAAGCCACCCTGACACTTGCACGATTTTTGTTCCCGCAGTGGCTCGCACTTCGGCGTGCCAATGATTAAAGTCTTCGGGAACGAGCGTGAGGAGAGTGTGAAGGGTGCGGGGATGCGTACCATGTCGTAGAGAGAATTTCAAAATTTTCAAAAATTTGGCACGCATCAATTGTCGTGCCATGTGCGTGCCACTTGCGTGAACCATTCGTGAACACTGTACGAACTCGGCGCGAACACTGCCGACGGTGCGTGTCAATGCGTGCCATGGGAATCCACTACACGCTCTGACACGCCATGCCACGCATGGGTCACAAACTGTCCACGTTGTGGGCGCGCCTGTTCGCGCCGCGTTCACGCATTCGAGCGTGTCGCGGAGTGATCGTGCGGTCGTTAGGGTGTTGTCACGAGTTGTTCACGTAATCATGGAACGCCCAGCTCACGCATAGGTCGCGCACGTCACGAACCATTCGCGCAATGAACGAACTGCTCACGAAGTGTTTATACATTGTTCGCGCGTAGTTCCCTACCAATGAGCGACGACGGCGCTCGCGTCAGTGCGTATGTAAGCGGGTCCTGGTCATTCTGCAACTTGCCAGCAAACGGACAACATGCCTTACAAGGAGAAAGTCCGTAGAAGAAGGGGAAAACCAGTGCAAAACAGACAGGAAGAGGACAGGCCAGAGACAGAGAAAGAGAGAGATTGCAGACAGGGAGAGGGATCTTTCTCCTCCTTCCTCCTGCTCAAGTGTGGATGTTGTTCCACAGACACAACTTGAAGTTTTTACAGAGACTTAAATAGAACTGTCAAGTGAAGAAGAGCCCACAGTAAAACAGAAGAAGAGAATCAGAGTGTCCAAGGAAGAAATTCCTGAGTATAAGTTGACAGATGAGGGTACCATGAAATTAGCAGAATATGTAAAAGACTACCCACAATTGTATGACAAGAGACAGAAGGACTGGCGCAATGGGGCACCACCCTCTGCCCCAACATCAACATACAGGAACTTATACCAAGCATCTGCAACAGCTATGAGTACAATGCTGTGGAAGCCATTGTAATTATAATAGAGGGAGCCTGCTTTGGGTGGCTTCTTCATAGCAACTTGCTTGCCGTCCAGGGCCCCCAGACAGTTGTGGTAGTTCCATCTGGAGCTGAACATCTCAGCAACCTCCTTCCACACTTCTTGAGTTTTGGGGCAGCTGAGCACTTCGTCCTTGTAGACCTCAATGATGGCTTTGCACACCTCTGGTAAGAACTTGCAGATTGTACTTGCTTCAACTCTGAAGCTGTACTGTGGCCTTGGATAGGAATTCCCTGTGACTAGGAAGCGGAGGGTGGCAGCGAGCTTGAGTCCAACTTCAAGCAATTCTCTCATGAATGTGGTCTCTTTCTTAAGGTGAGGGGTTAACTTCTCCACCATCTCTTGGAACAGGTCAGGTGTCATTCTCAGGTAATTCCTGTAGCCTCTGGGATCTTCCTTATGGAGTCCTGTAAATAGCTGATCATAATGTCTGAGCTCACGTCTTCTCGCCAACCATTCTCTAACCCACACTGTCCTTGCTTTCCTTGTTCTAGTTATAATTAGGGTTGTCTCTTCTTTTTTCTCATGCTCTTCCTCTTGCTCTTGCTGCCTTTTCTCCTGCTCTTCAAGAAGTAATAGTCCTGCAGCTGCCAGATATAGACACCTTCTCTGTTCTGCAATAGCAGTGTCTCTGGTATTCAGCATGTTGTATCGTCCACAGCGAGTCGAGGAATGAAGCGTCTCTTCTATTTGGAGTTTATATACATACGCCAATAGCGAGATTTGAAGCGTGCCGCCAAGCGGGACAAAGCGGGACCAAAAATTGCCACGACGACTTCACGCATGCGCGAAGTCGTGGGGACAATGCGTGGAGATGCGGGAAAACAGCGGGAACTATGCGTGTCGTATGTGACACTGCAGGACATTGCGGTACGAAAGACGTGAACAATGCGCGAACAATACTTACCCTATACGTAAACAAGTCGTGCCATTGCGTGTCAGTGCGTGCCGATGCGGCCCATTTTTGGCCGTGCATTGCGTAGACATTGCGTTACTTATGCGTGTGCAGTGCGCGAACAGGGCGCTAAAGCGGCTTCACGTTCCGCTGCGTACCACCGAAATGGCACGCCTTGCCACGACGCATTGCGCGGCATTGCAGGGACAAAAATCGTGCAAGTGTTAGGGTGGCTTTAGACGTTTACCACTTCAGTGAAACCCACGAGCACGGGTATGGTGCTGACAAACATAGAAACACAATCGTGGCGAACCGGGATCCGAACCCTTACTAATAGGTTTCTGGCGTGCCCAAGGGACGCAACTCTGCACCGCGAATTGCGGCGCCTTAGACGACTGGGCCACCCATGCCCCCGACATTATAATTAAACAAATACATCTGGCACATATTGCCATTTGATAACAATAAAAATAATCTGCTGTATGAGATGGCACGAATTTATCAATACGAGTTCAACAATTTATTTTTTGTGAATTATTGGTGTGTGATAATGAAATCTATCTTGAAACTGGTATTAGACTTTCAACAGGGTCAGCTGTGACGTTATGACGTCGTCATAGCTGTACAGGCCGACCAACCAATTTGTATAGGTTTTAACAAGGCGACGAATGACCAGTCACATAGTTTCTTTAACGAATAATGATCAATAAATACATTTTTAACGAAAAGTTACACTTGATTTTATGGTGGCCCGTAGCTGATAAAAAACTCCATAACAAATCCTACCTAATTGCAAACTTTCTTGTTTTAAACACAAACTGCATTTGTCACCTTGTAACTGGAATGAAAAGCCAGTGTGTGAGTGAACACCTGTTAGTTGTGTACAGTAAAGTACGTTTATAACGAACACGCTTATAACGAACTGACCGATATAATGAACTTATTTTTTAGTCCCGACCATTTGTTGTTTAAATGCTGTATATATGCCTATAACGAACTACGGTTATAACGAACTTAAATTAGTGGTCCCTTTGAGTTCGTTATAACCGTAGTTTACTGTATTGTAACAGAAATATCAGATGTATCAGTCGAAAATAACACGTGATTATGAGTATTTTTAATACAATGCAATGATACAAAGAGAATTTACTGTACGAATCGCATCCATGTTGGGACTTAAACCAGTGTACGAACACTTACACAATCGTGCTACCCGGCTGCTCTACGTCTACAAGGTGCAGGGTTGTCCCAGACATCGCGCGATCGCGTCATGTCGCTGTGAAGAGTTACTTCCCTTGAACTTTTCGGAACACAATGGCCGTAGGTTCGATTCCCAGATTCGCCCTGATATTTTTTTTTGGGGGGGGTTGTTAGAACCAAACCCGTGTTCCTCCCACAACGACTCGACACGCCTTGATGAAAATGAAGTACTGTTCAAAGCCGTGTAAGAGCCAACTACCCGCCCACATGTATAAGGGAAAAAGGTGAAATAATCCCTTTTATTATATACATAAGTATGAAATATATAGATATATAGTGAAAATATAAATGGTATTGTGAAATAAATTTGAAAAATGATATTTCACTGCAGTGAAAATTAAGCTTATATTTTCACCGGTGAAAATATAAGGTTTGAACCGGAACTACTTTCATCTCGAGTTACTTCCCCTTGATACAAAGGGACATAATTTCACACACTCCGTCGCAGTGGTGACTCAGCATAACACCACTGCCACAGGCTAATTTGCATATCACGTGACCGGACTTTTCTCTTGTTTGTAAACAAACGCGCTTTTTCAGAAATCAGTATAGAACGGACTAATGCAAGTATTTGGGGGCGCTTTACATATTGTTTTGCATAACTATATAGATATGCTACTACAACTGCGACAGTGAGTTGCATGACAATATATATTTATGCATCAAAGTAACCGTGTCGCTAGCTCTCCGTTGGGCTTCGGTGACAGCACGTGGAGCCGTACAACCAATGTAAACATAGGATAACTACGCAAAAACAAGTAGATTATTACGTATTTGCATACTTTCTCAATGAAAGTTAACCATTCTTTGACATTTGTTCATGAAAATGTGTAGACTTGTCAAACATGAAACGGATGAAAAGCATATGCAATATCTTGACTGGACTGTGAAAGATGTGACGAATCGTCACATGGCGCTGACCTGTGGCAGAGGTACTATACTAGCTGGCTGCCGGCCGCATGGAACTCTGGGTAGGAGAGTGATAATTTCATGATTACCTCCCTTGGATCGTCTGCTAGCCAAAATGAGCGACAACATAGAGAGAGGTGATGTGGATAATTTATTATCTGCAATAGATTACAGCATAATTGGTGATAAAAAGTATAAATCTATCAGTGATGATGATGTTTCAAGGTTTCTTCGAGATCTGGAAAATGAAAACACAAGAAAGAAGACAGATAGAGACATTAGAATTATCAGTGAGTACCTAGTGATGGTTGAGTGGGAAACTAGAAAAATTGAAGAAATCGATGCAGTATCTTTAGATTCCTATTTGTCAAGATTTTTTCTGTCAGTAAAAAAGAATGATGGATCAGAATATGAACCAGTCAGTCTAAAAAGCTACCAATCTTCCCTACAAAGATGCTTGAAACAAATGGGTTCTACATTTAACATCATTTCCGATATCACATTTGCAAGATCTAGAGAAACACTCAAATGCAAACAAAAAGAACTTAAATCAATGGGTAAAGGCAACAAACCCAAGGCTGCTGAAGAGCTGTCAGATATGGATATTGATGCCATGTACGATGCCAAGACCCTCGGAAGTGATAACCAACACAGCCTCCTTCACACCATGTGGATGATTTGTTGTCTGAACTTCGGCATGAGAACTGGAAAGGAAACCAGAAATTTACAATGGGGAAACATTGACATTAGAAATGATGATGATGGATCCGAGTATTTTATCTTTATAAGTGAGCGACAAACAAAAACAAGACCTGGGGATAATCCTAAAAACATACGGCAAATAAAACCAAGAGCCTATGCAACACCAGAAGACCTGGAAAAATGCCCTGTCAATGCATATAAATTGTACAGACAAAGACGACCACCAGCCTCTTGTACACCAGACAGTCCATATTTTCTAGCAGTCAACAACAACAGGAAGGAACAGTCGTACTGGTACAAAAATGCCCCACTGGGTGTCAACAAGCTATATGGAATTATGAAGGCTATGACAGAAGGTGCTGACATAGCTGATGACAAAAGATTGACACCATACAGGTAAATATTCAATATCTATATTAGTTTTGGATAAACACTTCAGTATAATATTGGGAAATACAATGACAATCAGCCATAAAGTAAGTCAAAATAAATTAGGTAATAAATATCAAATAAATGGCATGATATTGAATATACCTGAATCATTTCAGTATGAGGAAACACCTGGTCCAGAAGTTGACAGACAGTGGCGTTTCTCCCAATGACATCATTCAGATATCTGGTGAGATGACAGCTGTAAACATAAAAAAATGAATTTATGAAATATTTATACTACATATATTAAAACAATCAAATTATATGGAAAAAACATATTTAGAAATAGATTTTGAAGGTTAGTATTCCACTGAAGTGAAAATATACATTAATTTTATCTACACTTATTTAATAAGTCTGGGGACAATAACAAATTTAGTTTCCTTTTTAAATATCAATGGTTAAAATGTGTTTGTATAAGTTAGTTATATTCATTTTGTTGGTATTTTGAATATTATGAGAACATATATTGGTGAATAAAATAAACATTTGGCCTCATCCTATAAACTTGTTGTTTTAAGACATTAAAGTAATGAAATACCAAATACAAAATAAAATACTCTTTAGAGAAATACAAATATCATTCATTCATCTTTCAAAATATGGATAAAATGTTATTTTGAATTATTTTGTTTGACAAATTTCAGGCCACAAAAACGTGAATTCGATAAATAATTACTCAAGTATGAATACTGAAAAGCAGAAGGGAATATCTCGCATTCTGTCAAACAGTAACACCGCCAGCAGCACAGTCACAACAGCTGATCGAAATCCGGACTCGGCACCAATGCAGGGTGGATTTGCGATGCAATCTGTGTCCAACCGCCTTCAGAATCAACATTTTCTGACAAGCTTGTTGTCTGGAAATACCATCAACGGAAATGTTAACATATGTCTATCACCTGACATGTTCAATGTATCAATGTCCTCCGAAAAAAACACTGCAAATGCGACAACATCAAACACATGTAAAGACGAGTTACCACCATTGAAAAGACCATGCTTGCAATAGAATGACAAGATCATCTTGAAATATGGCATAAATAATGTTCGTCATAAAATATTGACAACAGAATATGTTTGGACTTACCTTTTCACGTTCATATTCAGTGTTTGTTATATCCTTTTACGTTGTTGACTTTGTTGACAAAAGTTCAAACTTTCGAAGCGAAGCGAGTGTGCGACGTTGTTTTTCTCTGAACACAATCAGCTGACTATGGATTATTATGTATTCCTACGCATTGACGTTAGTGCGAAACATTGTTTGGACAATGAGTTGTATACAATAATACATTAAGAAATTGATAAAATGCCAATTTGAATAAATGTTTTTGATTCACATTTGTATTTTGTTTTCTTTGACAATTTGAAATGAGTATAAATTGAGCGAACTATTTACTTCATCGTTAAAGCGACAGGTCGTATGTGAGCAGATCGAGACGCGAGAAATATCGTCGTTCTCGTAGTTGAAAGATCTGACTAAATTTCAATTTCAAATATGTAAAAATGGGAGATGTATATAATAAATAGACTACTTCATGCTTTTTTGTCGAATACGATTTATATTTCGTCGAGTGAAGCCTCAAACCCCATGTTGTTTCGAGATCGAAGATCGAGAAACAATATAGGGTTTGAGGCTTCACGAGACGAAATATAAATCGTATTCGACAAAAAGCATGAAGTAGCCTCTATGTATTTTATGTCCCTGGAACAAAACGTGTAGTGTTAGTATTCCTAGTATACATGTTGTTTGTTTGTTGTGCAGATGTGAACGACTACATCGGCCGCAGTGACTGTCCTCTGCAGATAGGGGCCGGCAGGGGCCTAGACAACTACGTGGGCGAGTTCGACGAGGTAACGAATTTTATTTTTATATATAAGCTGATGGAAATATCAAGTGCAGTGGAAAACTTACATGTGTAACTCAATACCTTGAACCAACGAAATACTCATCCAATCTCCAACACACAGAAGCAGACACACACACACACACACACACACACACACACACACACACACACACACACACACACACACACACACACACACACACACACACACACACACACACACACACACACGTACACACACACACGTACACACACATACGTACACACACGTACACACACACACACACACAAAGGCAGGCAGATAAACACACACGCGTATACATATACACACATACACAGAGGCATACAGGCACAAACACACACGTACTTTCACACAAACACACAAACACACAGAGACACGCGTACTTACACGTATACATACACACAAACACACAGCGATACACACACGCATACACAGAAACACGCACGCATACACGAATACATACTCACACACACAAACACACAAGCACACACACATACACACACTTGTTCATGTTAAAAAATATATGACCCCTGAGTGAAATGAAATATTGGAATGGACATTATATCATAAACATTATTATGTTTATAAAAGTAGTGCTATGTAAGGTCTAAAAATAACACGTCCCCTTATTCATTGCCTCCAGTATATAATGTTTAAATGGGTTTACCTTGCGAACAAAATAGGTTTTATCATGTGATGAATTTGGCTATGGTACGAGCATGAAATTCCTTTAACGCATGTATCATTATGTTTTAACACTCTGACACATTGCAATGTACATTTATAATGATGTGTCGAATGCTGACGGAAAAAACGTGTCAATATAATCAGGAGGATGGGTACACGTACGTTCAGGGTGTTACTGCTCATGATCTATCATGATATCCGTCATGATATCCGTCATGATATCCGTCCATTCTATGACTGATCATGTCGATTTTCGTTTCCTTCATTAAAAAAGGAGCCGAATCTGTTTCATCATCTCTCTATACATATCCTGAAAGATGACGAACACTCCTGTTTGCCGTTGGTGGTACGGAACAGCGTAAAGCATTTAATTTACATTAATCATCAAATGTACATGGTGCAATAGTGCCTTTCCTTGTTGAGAAAAAAAGACCATATGATGTGTCCGTGCATGCACCCTCCTTGCACCATTCGTGTGCGTGTGCGTGTGCGTGTGCGTGTGCGTGTGCGTGTGCGTGTAGGTGTAAAGATTTGACGAATATTAATCTGAACATGGAACGCTTTTGCACAATACGTCTAACACAACTGTGATTGCAAATATTTATGAACACCTGTCATTTTCGACAGATACATCTGCAATTCCTGTTACAATACATTACTGTGTATGTGTGTGTTTGTGTGTGTTTATGTGTGTGTGACTGTGCGTGCGTGCGCGCGCGTGCTTGTGTGTGTGTATGTATGCATGCTAACATGTATGTATATCATTGTATCACCAGACCAGACCTTTCTTCATCAAGCCGTCCTTTATTTAACAACTGTGATTTGATTATACTTCAGTTTGTATACTTCCCGTGTGTCAATCCCGGGTTCTTCAGTATATCCAGCCTGTTCTGATGTCCGGCGCCACATACCCGCATACCCCACATACCCCGCCTACCCGACGTGAACACTGCGACTGATGCAAGTCCATACACCCCCAAGATCCCCCAAGTTTACAATGACGTGTTCTGCGTGGTGTGTGTCCGCGATACTATAGATATCGATACATACCTTATCATGATAATACAAAGTATACTCACTGTACGATTCATTTGATAATTGCAACATATAAAGAACACTTTAGTACTATCAAATTATTGTTTGCAGTTTTTATAACTCTTAAAGGATGACTGTGCTTTTGGATTTGGTTTAACGTGTCATGTCAACTCATTGCTCAATAAAATGTCTTTTTGTAAGTTTTTTTATTTATTTATATATCAATGCTGGTTGACACTGGTAATGTTTTAACATTGCCATGATGTTTTAGCAAAGATTTTACTGGGGGGTGGAGCAGAAATTATTGCTGTGTAAGCTCATGTGGTACACTACAGAGCCTTCACCTTATTACGGAGTGTGAGAAGTACATGTAGGTAACACACTACAGAGCCTTCACCTTATGGCGGAGTGTGAGAAGTAGGTAACACACTACAGAGCCTTCACCTTATTACGGAGTGTGAGAAGTAGGTAATACACTACAGAGCCTTCACCTTATGGCGGAGTGTGAGAAGTAGGTAACACACTACAGAGCCTTCACCTTATTACGGAGTGTGAGAAGTAGGTAACACACTACAGAGCCTTCACCTTATGGCGGAGTGTGAGAAGTAGGTAACACACTACAGAGCCTTCACCTTATGGCGGAGTGTGAGAAGTAGGTAACACACTACAGAGCCTTCACCTTATGGCGGAGTGTGAGAAGTAGGTAACACACAACAGAGCCTTCACCTTATGGCGGAGTGTGAGAAGTAGGTAACACACTACAGAGCCTTCACCTTATTACGGAGTGTGAGAAGTAGGTAACACACTACAGAGCCTTCACCTTATGTCGGAGTGTGAGAAGTAGGTAACACACTACAGAGCCTTCACCTTATGGCGGAGTGTGAGAAGTAGGTAACACACTACAGAGCCTTCACCTTATGGCGGAGTGTGAGGAGTAGGTAACACACTACAGAGCCTTCAACTTATTACGGAGTGTGAGAAGTAGGTAACACACTACAGAGCCTTCACCTTATGTCGGAGTGTGAGAGGTAGGTAACACACTACAGAGCCTTCACCTTATGGCGGAGTGTGAGAAGTACGTAACACACTACAGAGCCTTCACCTTATGGCGGAGTGTGAGAAGTAGGTAACACACTACAGAGCCTTCACCTTATGACGGAGTGTGAGAAGTAGGTAACACACAACAGAGCCTTCACCTTATGGCGGAGTGTGAGAAGTAGGTAACACACTACAGAGCCTTCACCTTATTACGGAGTGTGAGAAGTAGGTAACACACTACAGAGCCTTCACCTTATGGCGGAGTGTAAGAAGTAGGTAACACACTACAGAGCCTTCACCTTATGGCGGAGTGTGAGAAGTAGGTAACACACTACAGAGCCTTCACCTTATGGCGGAGTGTGAGAAGAAGGTAACACACTACAGAGCCTTCACCTTATGGCGGAGTGTGAGAAGTAGGTAACACACTACAGAGCCTTCACATTATGGCGGAGTGTGAGAAGTAGGTAAAACACTACAGAGGCTCAATTGTGTACTGTGTGACGGGGACAGTTACTAACTGTTATACACTACACATCCTGCACAATATCTGACAGGATATGGATAAGAATCTATAGATCCTGCAATGTGTCACACAGGGTATGACTTGGCACAAACTGTTATGCACTACACATCCTGCACAATATATGACAGGATATGGATAAGAATCTATAGATCCTGCAATGTGTCACACAGGGTATGACTTGGCACAAACTGTTATACACTACACATCCTGGACAATATCTGACAGGATATGGATAAGATACTATAAATCCTGCAATGTGTCACACAGGGGATATGGATAAGATACTATAGATCCTGCAATGTGTTACACAGGGTATGACTTGGCACAAATTGTTATACGCTACACATCCTGCAAAATATCTGACAGGATATGGATAGGATACTATAGATCCTGCAATGTGTTACACAGGGTATGACTTGGCACAAACTGTTATACGCTACACATCCTGCACAATATCTGACAGGATATGGATAGGATACTATAGATCCTGCAATGTGTTACACAGGGTATGACTTGGCACAAACTGTTATACGCTACACATCCTGCACAATATCTGACAGGATATGGATAAGATACTATAGATCCTGCAATGTGTTACACAGGGTATGACTTGGCACAAACTGTAATGCACTACACATCCTGCACAATATCTGACAGGATATGGATAAGATACTATAGATCCTGCAATGTGTTACACAGGGTATGACTTGGCACAAACTGTTATACGCTACACATCCTGCACAATATCTGACAGGATATGGATAGGATACTATAGATCCTGCAATGTGTTACACAGGGTATGACTTGGCACAAATTGTTATACACTACACATCCTGCTCAATATCTGACAGGATATGGATAGGATACTATAGATCCTGCAAGGTGTTACACAGGGTATGACTTGGCACAAACTGTTATGCACTACACATCCTGCACAATATCTGACAGGATATGGATAAGATACTATAGATCCTGCAAAGTGTTACACAGGGTATGACTTGGCACAAACTGTAATGCACTACACATCCTGCACAATATCTGACAGGATATGGATAAGATACTATAGATCCTGCAATGTGTTACACAGGGTATGACTTGGCATAAACTGTTATACGCTACACATCCTGCACAATATCTGACAGGATATGGATAGGATACTATAGATCCTGCAATGTGTTACACAGGGTATGACTTGGCACAAACTGTTATACGCTACACATCCTGCACAATATCTGACAGGATATGGATAGGATACTATAGATCCGGCAATGTGTTACGCAGGGTATGACTTGGCACAAACTGTTATACGCTACACACCCTGCACAATATCTGACAGGATATGGATAAGATACTATAGATCCTGCAATGTGTTACACAGGGTATGACTTGGCACAAACTGTAATGCACTACACATCCTGCACAATATCTGACAGGATATGGATAAGATACTATATATCCTGCAATGTGTTACACAGGGTATGACTTGGCACAAACTGTTATACGCTACACATCCTGCACAATATCTGACAGGATATGGATAAGATACTATAGATCCTGCAATGTGTTACGCAGGGTATGACTTGGCACAAATTGTTATACACTACACATCCTGCACAATGTATGACAGGATATGGATTAGATACTTTTGATCCTGCAATGTGTCACACAGGATATGACTTGGCACTAACTGTTATACACTACACATCCTGCACAATATCTGACAGGATATGGATAAGATACTATAGATCCTGCAATGTGTCACACAGGGTATGACTTGGCACAAACTGTAATGCACTATACATCCTGCACAATATCTGACAGGATATGGATAAGATACTATAGATCCTGCAATGTGTTACACAGGGTATGACTTGGCACAAACTGTTATACGCTACACATCCTGCACAATATCTGACAGGATATGGATAAGATACTATAGATCCTGCAATGTGTTACACAGGGTATGACTTGGCACAAACTGTTATACGCTACACATCCTGCACAATATCTGACAGGATATGGATAAGATACTATAGATCCTGCAATGTGTTACACAGGGTATGACTTGGCACAAACTGTAATGCACTACACATCCTGCACAATATCTGACAGGATATGGATAAGATACTATAGATCCTGCAATGTGTTACACAGGGTATGACTTGGCACAAACTGTTATACGCTACACATCCTGCACAATATCTGACAGGATATGGATAAGATACTATAGATCCTGCAATGTGTTACACAGGGTATGACTTGGCACAAATTGTTATACACTACACATCCTGCTCAATATCTGACAGGATATGGATAGGATACTATAGATCCTGCAAGGTGTTACACAGGGTATGACTTGGCACAAACTGTTATGCACTACACATCCTGCACAATATCTGACAGGATATGGATAAGATACTATAGATCCTGCAAAGTGTTACACAGGGTATGACTTGGCACAAACTGTAATGCACTACACATCCTGCACAATATCTGACAGGATATGGATAAGATACTATAGATCCTGCAATGTGTTACACAGGGTATGACTTGGCATAAACTGTTATACGCTACACATCCTGCACAATATCTGACAGGATATGGATAGGATACTATAGATCCTGCAATGTGTTACACAGGGTATGACTTGGCACAAACTGTTATACGCTACACATCCTGCACAATATCTGACAGGATATGGATAGGATACTATAGATCCGGCAATGTGTTACGCAGGGTATGACTTGGCACAAACTGTTATACGCTACACACCCTGCACAATATCTGACAGGATATGGATAAGATACTATAGATCCTGCAATGTGTTACACAGGGTATGACTTGGCACAAACTGTAATGCACTACACATCCTGCACAATATCTGACAGGATATGGATAAGATACTATATATCCTGCAATGTGTTACACAGGGTATGACTTGGCACAAACTGTTATACGCTACACATCCTGCACAATATCTGACAGGATATGGATAGGATACTATAGATCCTGCAATGTGTTACGCAGGGTATGACTTGGCACAAATTGTTATACACTACGCATCCTGCACAATGTATGACAGGATATGGATTAGATACTTTTGATCCTGCAATGTGTCACACAGGATATGACTTGGCACTAACTGTTATACACTACACATCCTGCACAATATCTGACAGGATATGGATAAGATACTATAGATCCTGCAATGTGTCACACAGGGTATGACTTGGCACAAACTGTAATGCACTATACATCCTGCACAATATCTGACAGGATATGGATAAGATACTATAGATCCTGCAATGTGTCACACAGGGTATGACTTGGCACTAACTGTTATACGCTACACATCCTGCACAATATCTGACAGGATATGGATTAGATACTATAGATCCTGCAATGTGTCACACAGGGTATGACTTGGCACAAACTGTAATGCACTATACATCCTGCACAATATATGACAGGATATGGATTAGATACTATAGATCCTGCAAAGTGTTACACAGGGTATGACTTGGCACAAACTGTAATGCACTACACATCCTGCACAATATCTGACAGGATATGGATAAGATACTATAGATCCTGCAATGTGTTACACAGGGTATGACTTGGCATAAACTGTTATACGCT